GTCAGGATCTAATGACGAGCAACAACTCAACTTCAGACGAAGATCACCAACAAAGTATGGTCATCGATGAGAGGAAACAAAGAAGAATGATCTCTAACAGGGAATCTGCTCGTAGGTCAAGGATGAGAAAGCAGAGACATCTCGATGAGCTTTGGTCTCAAGTGATAAGACTTCGCACTGATAACCACTCTCTTATCGATAAGCTGAACCGCGTATCTGAAAGCCATGAGCTTGCCTTAAAGGAGAACGCTAGGCTTAAAGAGGAAACTTCTGATCTCAGACAGCTTATCTCTGAGATTAAGTCAAACAACGAAGACGACAACAGTTTTCTAAGAGAGCTCGAAGATTCGTTATCAAACTCTAGATCGGATTCGAACCAAAGCGGCAGAGATTTTGAGTTGTGCTGATGATCTTGATCATTGTTCTGCTTATGTTAAGACTGTAGATTTCATAAGGATCATATTGTATTATATGATATAATATTATTAATAATGTTATTCTCTATCGAGAAAAAAATATTGTTCTTCTATATCTTTTTTCTTTTAGCCAACTTGAGTTAGTTAAGAATATTAATGATGATCATGGACGTACGATAAATATTACATTATACTCAAATTTTAAGCCTTGTTCAGTAGATAAGTGTCCTAAAAAATGTAGGAATCAAAAACTTTCAAAACTTAAAATAAAATTGTGTTAGTTCCAAGAAATATAAAAGAATCAATTATGGATTTGCCATTTTTTTGGATGGCATTTGTGGATTTTGCCCTTTTTTGAATAGTTTATGGATTTTGCCCTTTTTCAGGCTACGGAAATATGATTTAACATGCGTTTTATTCGTTATGTTTGGGTTTAGTCGGTTGTGGTTGTTCTTAGGTTTTAGTATTTTGTATAAACTACGTATTTTTACCAAAAAAAATCCGAAATACGTACATTTTTAAGTGTAAAAAAATAGCAAATCCGTAAGATTTTAATGAAAATGGCATTTTCAAAAGATTTTGATAAAAAAGGGCAAAATCAACAATAATCCCAATATAAAAAAATTTAGGTTCACGATCGATGTGAATTAATTTCACTGGGACAATAGGTGTTCCGGATGACATCATTTAATTTTTAGTATTAGTTATGTTTGGTCGACATGAAATTTTTGTTCAGTTAAATGTAACTTTCAAGAGAAAACTAAAGAAATATTTTCGTTATTTTATTTTCTGTCCGTACTTCTCTTTATATTGTATTTTTTATAAAGAAATTTAGTTACCAATAAACTTGTTGGTAATGGTACCAATATAATGCTGAATTTCCTGGTATGGAGTTTTAAACGAATATAATCTATAATAATAGTTTCCATTATCAAAATCTTAAATGTTTCGGTTTTTTTATGACGATATATACCAAATCTTACTCCCAAATATATTTCAGTTTCGCCGCATAAATAGACTTGCATCATAAAAAAAAACCTTCATGGCAAACAAAGATTTAAGATGAAATTGATTGCTAAACAATGGTGGACCAATTCCTCTTTTTAATTTAATCAACAATTTAATCATTAGCCCCTTTTTCTTATTTTGTACTTATTTATTTTAGCCATTAAAGCATCACTAATTCGAGTTTGACAAAGCCACCTAGAAATTGTTCCTTCAAAATTTTCACCTGACGAATTAGTATTCTTCTGAATCCAAACACATCAAAATCAAAAGGAAGAGATCAATGTACATCATAAAACACTTAACACAACTGATAAATATAAATAACTTATCTTCACCTTATAGTATCCTTGACGTACGTATAGTTTTATACAACGTTCTTTTGCTTTCATATATTGGAGAAAGATTATTCTATTGTTATCTTTTACTGTTAAAGATAATTATTATTCTAACTCTGGAAGTACATTTGGATATAACTGGCCGAAGAATAGAAAATTTAATACAGTACATGTATTTGTTTTTTTGGTGAAACTAGTATGTGTATTGTTGAAAAACTTAGTTTGTGCCTTTGTGGTTTCATTTATTATATCTGGTAATATAGTGACTATATCATGCAAATAAAAATAAAAATATATGACGCATCAAGCCGAGAAATATATCAAAATAGTGCATATTATTTGTTGAATCATCAATAGTAGATCATTTTTTGCAAATCGTTCAATATAAGACTATTTAAAGATGGTGGATGGTAAATGGTAGTTGAAATGAAATTAGACAAAGGGAGGTGGAGGCTCCTGGTGATAGTGCCTCTGCAAAAAGAGTTAAAGAAAAACAGATATATAATACATGGAGACTAATTTCTAAAAGAATAATATAAAAGATATGTAGACATGTCTACTGAGTTAACCAATCTTTTTAGTAACGAATAAAGATTAATTAGTACTTTAGTATGCATATATATGTATAATCAAATAAGGCTAAGTAGTAAGTAACAACCAAATGTAGAGCCAAAATTGAAAAAAAAAATTTGGTAGCAAAATGCTATCTTCTTTATATTCTCTACAACCTTCTGCATGTTTTCTTCATTACAGGATGACCGAAAGCTTCTATTTGGGCCTATACCAATAAGTAAAAAGCCCAATTATTTTTCCTTTTCGAACAGCTTAATTAGAGTTTCTTGGTCGTCTAGCCCAATTAAACTTCAAGCTGTCTCTAGTCACACAAGACAAAACCTTAGGACTTAGGAGATACATAAACAGAAACTAAACGAAGCTTAGAATAAAAGAACAAAAGAACATGAAGTCATGAAACACATGGTCAAGTAGACTTTAGAACTAATCGGTAAAGCCGGAAGAAAAAGTTTAACGGCGAGAAGCTCCTTTCAAAGGTTTATGTTTATAATTTGCTAAATAAAAGACAAAGAGTAATAGTTCTTGTTTCAAGGAGATAGGTTTAAATCTTGTGTATAGATGTAATCGGTGTGAGCAGCTACAGTTTTCTTCACAAGACATTCTTCTTCACTGTCTGAATTCTTGCACTCTACTCCATCTCTGTCACCTTTAGTACTGCTTCTTGCTTTCTCCTAGATCCACGAGGAAAAATAAAACTAGTGAGCTGAATCACTAAAATTTATTCATTTTATATCTTTCAAGAAATTTTCTGTATTCGAAATTTTATAATTTATTTGTAACCATCATATGCTGAAACCAATAATTGATGATTTTTTACAACTTACAATCATTCTGATCCATATATTATCGTTTTCAAACATACATAGTAGCTATAATGGTGATGGATCGTACGTATACCACTAATCATTTTTAGAAAAATAATTTCGCTGTGTATGAATCGATGATGCACGTATATTGACGAACTTACATGTGTGGTGGGAGATGGTTTAGGAGGAGCAAAACCATCTTCTCTTAAAATAACACTAGAAGCCATGCTTAAAAGCAACACTAGAGTGAAGAAGAAGATCAACACTTCACTTTTCCTCTTCATAATTTTTTTTTCTTTTTCTTCTTTTTTTTTTTTTTTTTTTTTTTTTTTTTTCTTTTCTTTTTCTTCTTCTTATCTCTAATTAGTGTTCTTTTACAAGATATGAAGAGACGTTGAATAAAGTGTTCTTTTATATATAAAGCCAATACAGACAATTAAGTATACAGAGATATTTTGACTTTGTTATAATAATAAAGATGCGGCTGGATAGATTCATAAATGCTTGTATAGAGAAATGGGCGTTTCATGCAAAGAAAAAGGAAAGATCGATGAAGCTGAAAGAGAGAGAGAAAGGCAAGTCAAACTTTGGCATCATCGTGTCAACGCTTTCATTTCTCCTTGGAAACCTCACCTCTTCTTGTTTTCAATGTGACTTTCAATTTATCGAAACATCATCGACCTTTTGTTTTTTTTTATATTCCTTCTGTTTTACAAAAAGTATTAGTTTACCTATTTTCACACAAGTTTAAGACACTATGAAAAATTTATGTATACTTTTTCTTAATACACTAATATAATTTATCTCTCGAAAACAGGAATAAAATTGAAATTTAATCTATTTACATTAAAACACACAAAACTACATTTTTTGTAAAACAAAACTAGAATTTGAAAACAATATTTTTTTGTAGAACGGAAAGAGTATAATTTTAAAATTTTGTATATTCCGATTTCAAGTTATAACTTATAACTATATATATTTCCAATACTATGAGTCTATGACATATATTGATATATAGGCTATTAATTTGCATTGATATTATTAATGTCATAATGTGTGATGACTCGTTCACTATCGTCACCATGAAAAACACTATAATGAGAAAACTAACACTGAAAATCAAAATCACCAAAAAAAGTCTAGATTGAACCATGACTCGAACCTGCATGGTCATAGACAATAGTAGTATCACAGAAGGTTCCATTGGTTAATGTTAAGTTGTGTTGAGCCAGAGGAAAAAAAAAAATAGTATAATCACCGACTAGGACAAAAGAGCTTTAACGAGTGTGAAACACAATAATGAGCCGAATTAATTGAAGTTCAAATATTCTAATCATCATCATCCTTAACTTTTTTTTTCTTCATATTTTACATCGATGTCATGATACCCTACAATAGTTTATCCAATTATATATATATATATATATATATATATAGTTTATCCAATTATATATATATATATATATATATATATATATATTTGCAGTTAACATAAACGAATCATTAATTTCATTCGGTGATTCCATGCAATAATTATGCAATTCTAATTTCAATTAACTTTCATTATTGGCCAGCTAAAAAGAAACGAATCATTCATTACTTTTTAACGCGAAGAATTAGAGAAGACTCTAAATGACTCAGAAGGTTCTCGAGCCAATCTTTGAAAAAAACAACAAACATAAATTTTTCTTACTTGAAGCAAATTTGATCCAATCTTAGATTCATGGTTGGTAAGAATCAATCAATTTGGGAGTTGGAGTAGTAGAAATACTTCAACTTGCATTAAACTTTGCATTGCATCTGATTTTGCAGAAAAAGGAGATCTCTTTTTCTCCGGAACAAGTTTTTTCTCTATGTAAAATTTTTCTGATCGGTTTAAAGAGAGGATTTTTCGGAGATGGGTTTGTTGGAATCGGTGAAATCAATCAACTGGGAACATGAATCATCTCCGGTTTATCAGGATTTTCGAGTTCTTCCTCTCTTTGCAGTGTTCTTCCCTACAATTCGATTTCTCCTCGATAGATTCGTCTTCGAGGTAACAGAAGTTCTGTGAAAGTGTCTCCTAAAGCTGTTAGATTTATAAATTTCTTCGCAGTGTTGCTTAATGATTGTTTTGTTTCATCAATGCCTTATTTTAATTGTTGCTTCAGCTAAAAGTATAGAAAAGCTTCTATAAGAAGAATGATTGTAGCTGAAAGTATCTATTTTTGATAAGTGTGAAGAATGATTCAAACCTTTTCTTCTACTTTTGATAAATGTTAGTGTATGTGAGAATGAATGTTGCTTGACACTTGATTGTGTTGCATTCTTTTCAATTTTACACATTTGTGGTAGTGAGTACTTGACGTTTGTTTAGCTCTAGTTCTTTCTTTTGTTCCTCATCATTTTTATGTGTGCCTTTGGTTACTTTCAAGTAGGGTTTGTGGAAACCTCTTTCTAACTTTGACTTGATGATTGGTTCTTTTTAGAAATTGGCAAAACATTTGATCTATGGAAAACATAGGCAGGATATGGGAGATGACACAACCGAGAGAAATAAGAAGATCAGAAAATTCAAAGAATCGGCCTGGAAGTGTGTTTACTATCTATCAGCTGAGATTCTTGCTCTGTCTGTGACTTACAATGAGCCTTGGTTTATGAACACTAAATACTTTTGGGTAGGTCCTGGAGATCAGACTTGGCCTGATCAACAAACGAAGTAAGAATGTTGCCCAAGGCCTTACTTTGTATATAAAAATTCTCGATTTTGTGCTTGCTTTGGACATGTTATATATATCTACTCTCACGCAGGTTAAAGTTGAAGCTTTTGTATATGTTTGTGGCTGGTTTCTATACATACTCCATCTTTGCTCTGATTTTCTGGGAAACGAGGCGTTCTGATTTTGGAGTTTCAATGGGTCATCATATTGCCACTCTTATTCTTATTGTCCTCTCATACGTATGTAGGTATGCTTCCATCGTCACATCCTATTCTATGCTGAGAAAACAGAACTGATTCCTTTGGTCTACATTGTTTTGATCTTCTTGTTTCTTTTTCTCTTTATCGGTGTAGCTTCTCCCGCGTTGGTTCTGTTGTTCTGGCACTTCACGATGCTAGTGATGTGTTTCTTGAAGTTGGGAAAATGTCTAAATATAGTGGAGCTGAAAGAATCGCAAGCTTTTCATTCATTCTTTTCGTTTTGTCTTGGATCATTCTCCGCCTCATTTACTATCCCTTTTGGATACTATGGAGCACAAGGTTTGTATAATATATTAAGATCCTTTTTATAGTTTTTTTTCTCGAAATATTTGTCGCCTTACATATATTACATTGCTTGTTGCAGCTATGAAGTAGTTTTGGAGCTGGATAAAGACAAGCACCCAATCGAAGGACCAATTTACTACTACATGTTTAACACTCTCCTATATTGCTTGCTTGTTCTTCACATTTATTGGTGGGTTTTGATGTATCGGATGCTTGTGAAACAAATACAAGATAGAGGCAAGCTTAGTGAAGATGTCAGATCCGGTCAGTCTAGTTTATTATATGATAAAAATCGGTTTTCGCACCATCCAAATGAAAGAAGAGATCTTCAAGTCTGTGTCTTTTTGCAGATTCTGAAGGCGAAGAAGATGAGCACGAAGACTGATTGATCACAAAGGTAGAAGAAACTTTTGTCTGGTTAATATGAAATGTAAAAGCACGGTCTTCTTTCTTAACATTATCGCAGATTCTTTAGTTCTGTGTCTGTGATTCTGATCGCTAATTGGTGTTTAAGAGTGGAGACTGACTGAGTCTCCAATCTCCAACATTGGACCAACTCATGGAACAGAACTGATTAAGGAGACCTGAAATTGTAGTTGTATTGAATTGTAGTCTGAACAAATTCCAAATCTTCTTGTATTGTATTCATTTCTTGTTTAGGATCACTCACCAATTCATGATATATATAAATGTTGATTCATGTTCTTACAAATGTTATCATTGGCCTCTCATACATTGCCATTTCCTTTTGACGTGTCTAACTGTATAATTTTTATTTAATTAAAGCACTTATGTTATGAAATACTATATAATATAATGTAACTGTAACGCTAGATTATGAAATAGACTTTTGGCCAAACGCTAACTTGAATCGCAAAAGTAAGAAAATCTAGTAAAACAAATGATGAGAGCAAAATCTGCGACCTTCTTCTATTTCCCCATTTGAAACTTCACCGATCAAGCCAGTCACTGCTCCAGCGAACCGGAACAAGGAGACAAAAAGGTTGAGTCTTTTTCTCTAATTCTTTCTGGGTTAATCAAATTTCGAGTTTTTGTTTTGTTGCATTGCAAATTGCAAATCGCAATCTCTCTCTCTCTCTCTCTCTCTCTTTGGTGAACAAAAAGGTGGAGCTTTTATCAATCTTATTCAGAGTGGTGATTAGGGTTCTAAGGTTTTGAAGGGGGTTTCTGGGGATTGAATTTGATTAGGGTGAAATTCATCAATTTTCTGGGTTTTGATTGAAGTCAAATGCAACAACTTTATTTTCTGTCTGCATGTTAATGAGCATTGTTGTGATTTTGATTGTGTTAAAATGTTTTTAGATGGGTGAATCTCCAGATTTCATAAGCGATCTTCCTCAAAGTATTATTGAGAATATACTTACTCGGCTTTCGATTAGAGATGCAATAAGAACAAGTGTGTTATCTAGCAAATGGAGATATAAATGGTCTACACTCACTGATCTTGTCTTTGATGAGAAATGTGTTTCTCCTGCTAATGACCGTTGCGTTGTTGAGACTAATCTTGTGAGATTTATCACTGGAGTGCTTCTACTTCACCAAGGACCTATCCATAAGTTTCAGCTCTCTACTTCTTTCTTACAATGTCGTCCCCATATTGATCAGTGGTTGCTTTTTCTTTCGAGGAATGGGATTAAGGAGCTTGTTCTTAAGTTAAAAGAAGGTGAATTCAGGGTTCCTTCATGTCTCTTTAACTGTTTGAAACTGACCCGTTTGGAGTTATGTCATTGTGAGTTTGATCCGCCTCAGTATTTCAAAGGGTTTTCATCTCTGAAGAGTTTAAACCTTCACCAAATCCTTGTTGCTCCTGAGGTGATTGAAAGTCTGATCTCAGGTTGTCCGCTTCTCGAGTTCCTGTCTTTGTCTTACTTTGACAGTTTGGTTTTGAGTATATCAGCTCCGAATCTCATGTACTTGTATCTAGACGGCGAATTCAAAGACATTTTCCTCGAGAATACTCCCAAGCTAGTTGCAATATCGGTTTCAATGTACATGCATGAGGATGTTACTGATTTTGAGCAGAGTTCGGATTATAATCTCGTTAAGTTCCTTGGTGGTGTACCCCTTCTTGAGAAGCTCGTTGGTTATATCTACTTCACAAAGGTAATTTTGCTTCATCCTAAATACTTTTGAGCAATTATCGTTAATGAAAAAGTTATATTTTCTTTTATTTGATCTCAGTACTTGAGTATAGGAGATGACCCGGGAAGGCTTCCAATTACTTACATTCATCTTCAAACTATAGAACTTTACCAATTATGCTTTGAAGATGCTGATGAGGTACTAGTTCTTCTTCGTTTGGTCACTCACTCTCCCAACCTTAAAGAGCTCAAAGTTTCGGTATGTTAACTCTCTCTTTCAAAGTTTCGTAATGTGACCATAAATCGCTATTTATCATCTTCTGTAATCCTCTCTTTGGATTTTCTAGTCTTCACCTGTCCAACTATTTCCTCTCGAAGAAGAAGGTTTTGACCTTTTCGAAAGAGATTACTTCGAGTACAAACTCCCGAGCCTTGAAACCATGAAGATAACAGACGTATCTGGCATCAAAAATGAGCTGGAATTTCTCAGATTCTTGCTGGGAACTTCTCCAGTTTTGGAGACAGTCATTGTATCATCGAGTTTAATGGAAAAAGAAGCGAAAATGGATATGGTAATCGAATTGCTCAGGTATCCGCGTGTTTCTCCTCGAGCTCAGCTCCTCTTCCTTCAGGACTGAAATCTGACTCCCCTAGTCCCCTTCTCCATCTCTCTCCCTCTCTCTGTGTTATCATGACTGAACATGTTTTAATCTGAATCTGTTAAAGGAAATATGTAATTGTGGAAAGATAACAAAACTGTTGAATCCACAGTAGTAAATTTTAATGTAGTTGACCAAAGATGGTAAAAAAAGAGTTACTACTTGTACTCCAATTGGTGTGCTATTCATCATTCTAACTAAAATTCAAGTTGTAAACTTGTAATATGCATTATAGAGCTCTAAATTCGGAAAGTGATACGTTGATGATAGTAACAAATTAGTTGTTACATGTCCAATCAATTTCTGTAATATCAATTTAGACTCAAAATTGAAAGATTTGTACTATGTATTATTTTTTGTTGTTGTCGGCTGTAGAAAGAAAGATATTTGTTTTGTATAAATTGAAATAATAATGAGTATATAGTTTTGGAAAATAATCAAAAAAAAAAAAAAAAAGGAAAAATCGTTTACACGTGTGGGAAACGCGGAAGAAACGCAAAGCACTCTCTCTCCTTTTGCTTCTGGTCCTCTCGTCTCGTTTCGCCGCTCTATAGGGAAAGAGAGAGAGATCTCTGTCTCTTTGTTCTCTCTTTTTCAGACAGTCGAGACGAGAAAGGCTCGTATCTGGTTTTACCGCCAAGAACCACCGGATTATCGTAAGTACCCGTCTCTTGATCCAATTTGTAGCAAAAGATCCAAACTTCAGATTCTACCCAAATCTCGAAAGTCACTGTCTCAGTTCGAGCAAAGTTTTGTTTTTTTGTTGACGGGTTATGCTCATTTTCTTAATTTAGCATTAGGGAATCTGAAAAGTGTCCTCAAGATCCATGCTTTAATGTCATTGTGGGATTAGAATTGATTGTTGTTTTTGAATCAGTGATAGAGAAGAATGGGTTACATAGGAGCTCATGGTGTAGCAGCTCTTCATAGGTACAAATACAGTGGAGTGGATCACTCTTATCTTGCCAAATACGTGCTCCAACCTTTTTGGACTCGATTTGTCAAAGTCTTCCCTCTATGGATGCCGTAAGTGTTTCTCTTTCATACTATTTCGTTGCATGTATAATAACTTTTCCTTGCTGAGGTTAATCAGACTGATGTTCTTTTTACTCTGCTTGTCTTTTCATGGCGTTTTTCTCTTTGGACCATTCCAGACCAAACATGGTATAAGTTATTCCTTGTTATTTTGCTATATGTGGTATGGTCTTTACATTTGAGTTAAAAACTTCTGGCTTTGTGTGTTTTTGTTTCGCAGATAACGCTTATGGGGTTTATGTTTCTAGTCACTTCCTCCCTGCTAGGCTATGTGAGTCTCGATTCTCTGATGTCTTGTTCTTTAGTTTCTTGAAGCACTTGGTTACTTTCTTGATGGTAAATATGCCTGCTTTCTGCATATGGATTTGATTTTGAAGAAATTTTACTGTACTTGTCTCAGATATATTCACCTCAGCTGGATTCTCCTCCGCCACGATGGGTTCACTTTGCACATGGTTTACTTCTCTTCTTGTATCAGGTTTGCATCTCTCTTTTTCTTCCAAAGTCTAACTTTCTTTTACGTCTGCTTGTGAATGTGTTTTAAGTCTTTTTTTCCTGATACCTTTTGAGCTTTTGTTAGACATTCGACGCGGTTGATGGGAAGCAAGCAAGAAGGACAAATTCCTCTAGCCCCCTAGGAGAGCTTTTTGATCATGGTGATTTATTTTTCCCATGTTCCTCCTTTGATTATTTGTTTTCAGTTTGTTTCTTGATTTTTCTGACATGTGTTCCAATATTGCAGGTTGTGACGCACTTGCTTGTGCGGTATGCAGTTAACGATCCTGTTATCTTTTTTTTCCCATTATTTACTCATCCTGGAATGGATAGTGAAGGTTTTACAATAAAAACAGTTTGAAGCCATGGCATTTGGAAGCACTGCAATGTGTGGAAGAGATACTTTCTGGTTCTGGGTTATTTCAGCTATTCCATTTTATGGAGCTACATGGGAACAGTAAGCACTGCTTCCAACTTCCTGCTTATGTCTCCTAAAACATCAATATTTGTTTAAAATTGTTTTAGCGATTTTCTTATACTTTTCCTTACCTTTCTCTAGCTATTTCACCAACACACTTATTCTTCCTGTTATCAATGGGCCTACTGAGGGTCTTGCACTTATATTTGTCAGCCACTTCTTCACAGCCATTGTCGGTATGCTTTTCTCTTGTCTGCAATCCTTGAAAACTTCACCCTATTTAAATTGCTTGGACAATCTTTCTATATTTGGGTTTGGTCTTTACTTCAACTCGATCTTTCTTTCTTTTTTTATGTCCAAAGGTGCTGAATGGTGGGCTCAGCAGTTGGGGCAGTCAATACCATTGTTTAGTTGGGTGCCATTTGTGAATGGTAAAAAGATCTCCGGCATGCTTTCCCTCCAATCTTGCAGCGTTACTTTCTTGATTTCACTTGAAAAGTTTGTTTTTTGAGCTATTGATTGTTCTCTGTTTTAGAGATCCAAACTTCCAGAGCAGTGCTATACATGATGATCGCTTTTGCTGTTATACCAACCGTTGCATTCAAGTGAGTCTATCAAACTTGAAAAATCTTTTGTCTTTATTTTTGAGTGAGCAACTAAGAGTCTTTTCAAGTTGTAAAGTTCGTGTTTTCTAAGCTTGTTTGTACACCGTTGTATTTTGCAGTGTGTCAAATGTCTACAAAGTCGTTCAATCAAGAAAAGGGAGCATGGTGTTAGCACTAGCTATGGTAATCTCCTAACTACTAATTGATTCACAAATAGTCAACTATGCTGCAAAATTAATGTTCTGTTCAAATCTTGTTTTCAGCTGTATCCCTTCGTTGTCCTACTTGGAGGAGTTTTGATATGGTAAAGTCTTGTTTTATTCTCTTTTGAAAAGACCACGTGATCTTTCTCTCTCCTTCATCGTTGAAGATTATTTGGATCCTCTTTTTTACAGGGATTACTTGTCTCCAATCAATCTCATAGCAACATACCCTCACTTAGTTGTACTCGGAACTGGACTTGCATTTGGATTTCTGGTGGTATGTCTTGATTCGAAATCTTAAGTTAGATCAATAGCACGATTATTCCGAAAAAGTTGTAATAGAACAAAAGTTTCTATGTTTTCTTTTTCACAGGGAAGAATGATTCTTGCTCACTTGTGTGATGAGCCTAAAGGACTAAAAACAAACATGTGCATGGTAAATCCGATAACTTTTCTCTTGCCAATTTCTCCATCTTAGTGGTTTTGAAAATGTAGCCTTATGAAATCTTTTTACTCAAAATGCAGTCGCTACTCTATCTTCCCTTTGCACTCGCAAATGCGCTAACCGCGAGATTGAATGCTGGGTATGTTTTTTCTCTCTTTACATTTTCCTCGCAAACTTCATTGGTTTTTTTTGTCTTTAACACCCGAGAAACTTCATATCCCAGGGTTCCTCTAGTCGACGAATTATGGGTTCTTCTTGGCTACTGCATATTCACAGGTTTGCTCCTAAAGAGAAAAGCCTTATTTAGCTGTTGATTTTTCTTTTTCACTATTCAGTTATTTTGCCCGCTCTAAACCAATTGTTTTGATGCAAAACAGTGTCATTATACTTGCACTTTGCAACATCGGTCATCCATGAGATCACTGAGGCTCTTGGAATCTACTGCTTCAGGTGAAAATTCGATAAAAAAAAGGTCAATATTCTTCCTTTCAAAACATAATGAATTAATGTATCTGCATCTGGTTTTTTCTTGCTAATCAAACAGGATCACGCGTAAAGAAGCTTGAAAAGAAACCTTTAAGGGTAATGTTTTTTTTGTGTGTGGACCGTTGGATCGACACAAGGAATGGTCGATATGGACCTGTTGGATCGGTGATGTATTTCCTCTTCTTATTCATTGTTGTCTGTTTGATCAGGATAGGTGAATTATGTAGAACTTTGTATAATGTTCTTGTTTTGGATTTATCCATGGGGAAAAATACGAAAATTATTCTTGAAATAAGGAGCACTTTTTACCTCGAAAATTGCTTTGCTGGATTTGGTTTTGCAAGCATTTGAGGATTGGTTGACTTTTGACTTTTTGTAATACGACTATACCAAAGAGTTCTATAAAGCATAGTGTCTCGCATTTTAAAACCTTATAGAAAGCAAATTATACATCGAGTTCCTATTTCCTAACATCATACAAAAACATTACTTAAATAAAAGTCAACCATTTGAATTGAGCTTCTCTTTTTTATTTTTCTGCTTATGCTTAATCATCGGGAAAATTCCCAAAAAAAACCTCAATTATTTTTTATTTGGACGTTTAATATCCAATTGTTTTCGGTTGGAAGAAAAATACACATATTAATAAAATTGTGCGATTTAATATCCAAACAATTAAATGTTGTTATTTTCATACTCACGATCTCACAATAAAAATAAAATTCCAATTTTACCCTTACTATCTCAATTAATTATTAACTTTTAGATTACGTGACAATAGTTTTTTATTTAAACAAAAATTAATTTTATTAATATTTCATTTCTTTGTTATCCCAAAAAAAATTCAAAAAAAATTTCAAAATAATTTGCAGTTTATTTTACAAATATTTAATTTTTAAAAATTAAAAATAAAATTAATTAGCAAAAATTTTAGAAAAAGTAAAAAAAAAATAGCCATTTTTATGAATTGATAAATCTTGAGAGAGACGATGAGATTCAGATTGAGATTTTGTCGAAAATAGTTTCATTCGTGAAGGATTTATATTCGAATAGATAGTTTCTCACGACGAAGAAAAAGTTCATATTGATGCTCGTTGATATCATATACATCACGACGAATCAAATCAAATTAATTTTAGAGAAATTCCTAAAAATGGCCCTAAAACAAGTTTTATTGACAATAATAGCACACACTTCATAAACTTCCAAAAATAGCACTAGTTAACTTACTATTAGTGTTTTTGTTCTAAAAATTTTATCACTAACTTTTTTTTTCAATAATACTACAACTTTTATATAAAAGCTATTCAACAAAATAAATTAGAAATAAATTTAAAATATTATATTTGGGTTCTCTATTTCCAATTTAGGGTATATATTTCTACCATTTAAAAGAGATTTTGATTCATTTTAATATTAGTTTATGGTATTATATTTGGGTTCCCTATTTCCAATTTAGGGTATATATTTTTACCATTTAAAAGAGATTTTTATTTTAATATTAGTTTGTGGTATTATATTTGGGTTCCCTATTTCCAAATTAGGGTATATATTTCCACTATTTAAAACAATTTTGATTCAATTTAATATTAGATTAGTGTTTACTCTTTTTTTTATTTTCTATCTTGTATTTTCATTAAGTTTAATTGAAGTTTATGGTGCTATTTGTGGAACTTTTCAAATGAGGTGCTATTTTTGGAAAAAATAACTTTTTTGGGGCTATTTGTGTCAATCTCCCTCAATTTTATTGGCGATGAAGATTTTGGATAGGATTAAAAGGAGATTGTGAACGGTTATCGAATTTGATGGTTGCAAAAGAGGACGATGGAGATTGTTTACCGGTAATTCTCGTAGATATTAATCGAAAAAATTAGAATCGAAGAGGAAACGTCTCTTTGACATTGCAAAGACGGAATAAGATTGTACAAATGACTAATTTTAATTTTTGTGATTTTCTGCTAATTTTTATGTTTAATTTTAAAATAAAATAATTATATAAATTTAAAATTTATTTTTTAGGCAACATAAAATAAAACATTAACAAAATTAATTTTTATTTATATAAAAAATAATACCACGTTATTTAAAAGTAAATAATTAATTGAGATGATAAGGGTAAAATTGGAATATTTTTTTGTTGTGAGTTCGTGAGTATGAAAATAACAACATTTAATTGTTTTGGTATTAAATCGCACAGTTTTATTAGTATGTGTATTTTTCTTCCAACCGAAAACAATTGGGTATTAAACGTCCAAATAAAAAATACATGAGGTTTTTTTTGGGAATTTTCCCCTTAATCATCTGCTCTTGCATTGAATTGATGTAAACTTTGTTTTGTTTAAATGGAAATAAAAATGTCATCTTTCTTAATTCTTACACAAAAAAAAAGGGGTCTACGGCTGTTAAAAAAAAAGAAGGTCTAATAAAAAAGTGGACTTTGACTCAGGAATGTGAAAACAAAAAGCAAAATTCGCCGGAGGTAACGATGTCTCTGCCGGAAGGTTCATAGTGCGGCTCTACTGGCTCGTAAAAACCCTAAATTGAAGAAGAAGACAATGTCATGTTTCTGAAAGCTGTTTTTGTGTTTATATCCGTTCTCGCACAGAGTCTCTCTCGTCAGGCACGATACAAAAGAAAAGCACACAGCTTTTGGTCCTAATTCTTCTTGGCTACTCAATGAACATCCATTGGCAACAATAGAAAATTACGCATCTTTTCCGAATTTGTTGGATTGAGCCGCTAGTGAGATTTTAGTGTTTTTTTTTCCTTCTAGGGATTTAAAAGTCTGGTCTTGTAGGATTCTTGTTGCTTCTCTGCCGCAACGAGACTTTGCCACTTTTGCTATTCCTTATGTCAATTTCTTGAAGGTTTGAGTTACTTGACTTGTGAAAACTTTTGGTTTGAGAGTTGATGCTCTTTGCTTGGAATCGGTACTACAATATCTTGAGTTAAGAGTGGTTGAAGTGTTGAATACTTGACTGCTGAAAGTTTTTTGGTTTGAGTGATGATGCAAAAGGTGTGGACAGAATCTTCATGATGCAGAGTGGTATCATGATATACAGAGAGGCAAAGACTTTGTTTTTTTCTTTACTATTTTATAGACACTTGATGAGAGCTGACATTAGGGTAGGCCAAGATCTTTATGGAGATCAAGTCAAGTTTCCTTGAAGTTTCCTAAGTCACCTTGTCAGTTGCTCTTCTACAGAGTTGTTTACTCTATAATATAGGATCAAGTTTTTCTCCAACTCCCAAACTCGATTTAGTGAAAATGTACATCACAAGGCGTTTGTCAGAGTACCGGAGGAATCCAGCAGAGCTAACACAGCCTCCTCCTGAGGGTCCCAACTCTGGAATTTTGGTAATCCAAGACCAAGACTCAAAGACACGGGTTACATGTTGCTTCAGCTCGTGGTTGGTAGTGGATTCTTCTTTAAGTGGTTTGCCATTGCCGCAAAATCTTAAGCTTGCAGTCACATTCAATATCGGAGGAGATGACAGTACTCGTGACCCAGTTGTGTTCATTCCTGTTCTTGATAAGCCTCTATCTTCAAACTGTTATTACGCTATTAAACGACATGGGAAACATTCAGGGTATGAATTTGAATCCGCAAAATCTGAAATTCTAGAATCTTTCTTCTTATTTAACCTCAAAAGTTTATAAAATTTTGGTTGCATTGCAGAGAAGCATCTGGTAGTGCGAAGGAGGAAGATAAAGTCTCCTGCTGCTTTTGTATTAGGCAAGTTGCTGAAGCTAAACCAAAACAGCTAGATCCTTTTGACATATACCAACAATTTGAGATCCATCAAAAGAAGCCATCCTCGCGTTGTTACTACGCAACATCTGTTGCTCCTGACGGGGTCCCTCCATGGTTTCTCAAGAGAAAGGAGTGGACCGTTGAATGCTTGAGGTCCCAAGACTTTAAACTGAGCGATGACGCAAAAGGACTCAACACAGAGCTTCGTGCCAAGCTTCCTGGTCTTAGTATGAGCACAGTGGTTGGGAAGTGGTATGTCCCTTTCATATTCGTGAAAGAAAGAGACGCAAAGGATCAGGTCAAGAATTCGATGTATTACAGCATGACTCTCGAACAAAGATGGAAAGAGGTTTTCTCTTATGAGAACGATAAAAGCGAAAACTGTGATGTTGTAGTTGATGTAGAGTTAGATACTGAAGTTGTTAAGCTTGAGGGACAAGAGATTGCAAGAGGTGTTGAAGCAAATGGGTTTGTCTGGTTTGGGGTTGGAGAAAAAAAGATCGGTTTAGGATCAGTTGTTGTTGAGAGGATGAAATGGGAAGAAGAGAGATTCGGGTGGACAGGCAAAGGCGACAAGGAGCGATCAATGACAGTTAAGAGATTGGAGAAATCAACAGATGGTAGCCTTTGGAAGCGTTATCATTGTTATGTTCTGATAGAGAGCTTTGTCTTGAAGAGAATGGATAAGAGTTTGGTCATAACATATGAGTTTACACATGTAGATAAGCTCAAAACCAAATGGGATTAAGCTTATCACGCAACGAATCTGCAAAAGCTTTCTCAATCTCGATGACATGAATCCATTGGTCAGTGTGATTTATCTATAACCAATTTAAAATTCGGCTTTTCTGTGTATTGTGTTTTGATATCATCATCTTCAACCTTTTTGGGTGAAGAAAGAATAAAATATTGAGTTTGTTTGTCTCCTTACTTGTTAGTACTCATCCACAGGAGATTCTGACAAATGTTTAAGTCAAACATCAAAATATATTTATAAACAATAGCTTAGTAAACTTCCTTGCACGTTCTTATGATCCTTTGTTTTATATAAACGATGACAGGTTAGATCTTAAGTAACAAAGAATCAAGGAGAGATGTATGTAACAAGGCGTTTGTCCGAATACCAGAGAAACCCGTCGGAGCTTCCTTTACTTCCAACGGAAGGTCCAAACTCCGGCGTATTGGTGATTCAAGACGAAGAATCACAGCCTACATGCTGTTTTGGTAAATGTTTTGGTTGTGATCTAAATGGTTTGCCGTTTCCTCAGAACACAAGAGTCACCGTTAAATACCAAATCGGACGTTAGTTACTTTTCATTTTAACTCCTAACTCTCTGTCCATCATCTTACTTTACTCTGTTTCTGTTTCATCTCTGTTAATTATCTAAGCTTTGATTTCATGATAGACGGAGATGACAGAATTGTCTTGCTTGACTCGGTTGCGTTCATCCCTGTCCTTCATCAGCCTCCTTCTTCCAATCTTTACTACGTTATAAGGCGAAGAGGGAAACACGTAGGGTATGATTCTATTGGATATTTGTGCAAGTTTAAAAGCTTGAATCTTTCTCATGTTTCATAGATATCAAAGTTTATCACTTTAGTTTAAATTAAGCCAATATTAAAAGTTAAGCGGCCTAAAGTCAAAGAAACTTAAATCCTTACATATTTTTAAACTTTGATTGGTATTGCAGAGAAGCATGTGTTAGTGCAAAAGAAGAGGACAGAGTTTCTTGTTGCCTTTGTTTTACTTATGTCTCTAATGCTACGCCAAGGCCTCTTGATCCTTTTGACATATACCAACAATTTGAGATACATCAAAGAGGATCATCAACCCGCAAGTTTTTCGCTACATCTGTTGCTACAGATGGAATACCACCTCGGTTCCTGAGGAGAAAAGGTTGGACGGTTCCTTTCTCTGCTTCCCAAGACTATGGTTTGATTGATGATGCAAAGGGTGTAGTTGATGCAAAGCTGCGCTATGAGCTTCCCGATTTCGATAAGAGCGTTGTAGTTGGGAAGTGGTATGTCCCGTTCTTGTTTGTAAAGGAAGGAGATGCTAAAGATCAGATGAAGAAATCGATGTATTACAGCATGACACTTCACCAAAGATTTGAAGAGGTTTTCTTCTGTGAAAACGTTGACAATGATAAAAATTGCGAGGTTGTAGTTGATGTGGAGGTAGAAACAGAAGTGGTTAAGCTTGAAGGAGACAAGATTGCAAGAGAGACAAAAGGTGTGAACTCAGATGGAGTTGTGTGGTTCAGTGTCTCAGAGACTGAGAAGATTGGTCTTGGGTCTGTGGTCTTAGAGAGGATGAAATGGGAAGAGGAGAGGTTTGGGTGGTTAAAGAAAGGCGATGAACTAAGGTCTAGCATTAAGAGAATTGAGAAATTTGAAGACGGTGGACCACATTGGAAGAGTTATAGATGCTTTGTACTGGTAGAGACCTTTGAATTGAAGAGAACTGATGGGAGTTTGGTGTTGACGTATGAGTTTAGACATGTTGATAAGTTGAAGAGTAAGTGGGATTGAGTTTATTTCAGCTTCTTTTTTTGTGTTTCGTGTGAACTTATGGTGTGTTCATTTTAATGAAAGCTTCATTGCAAGTTCATGTGTTATAACTCGAAGCTTTCATACATATTTGTAAATTCTGTATAATGAATGAATCAAAAACTGGTGTTATGCTCAAAATGCTGAACTTTTGTTTTGCCTATCACTTGGTGTTATGTGCTGAAGCTAACTTGCACAAAAGGGTGTATACCCAAAAAGGAAAAAAACCTCAAAAAGTTTTGTAATAATGTTGCAGAAAAGCATTAGCTAGTGCCAAAGAGGAAGACAGAGTCCCCTGTTTCTTTTGTTGCAGTTTTCTTCCAGAAGCTAAGTAACAAGAAGCAGATCCTTATGGTTAGGTCAATGGTCATATAAAGAATATCTAGAATTTGTTTGATTGATTCTCCATGATAGGTTTGTGAAACCAAGTCAAAGGTCATAACTTTGAAAATTCTAAAGTTGTATTGAATTGAACCATAAAGTACAAATCTTTGAAAAGTCTTTAAACGACAACTTGTAAAATTTGCTTACGGCGTTATCCTCAATACATGGTACACTATATAAACATATCACATCTCTTCTAATCAAAAACCAGAATTCAAGATGTATGTTACTAGGCATCTCTCGGAATACCAGAGAAACTCTTCGGACTTGACACGATCGTTGCCGGAAGGTCCAAACTCCGGAGTACTTGTGATTCAAGACGAAGACTCAAAGCCCACTTGTTGCTTTGGAACTTGCTACGATGGTGAACTCAAAGGCTTACCGTTCCCACAAAACGCAAAGCTGACTGTGACTTACAGAACCGGAACTGGTAAAGACAGGCGCAGTTACCATGACCAAGTCCTGTTCATTCCGGTTCTTGATCAGCCTTATTATTCGAACCGTTATTATGTCATTAAACGACGTGGGAAGCAATCAGGGTATGACCAAAATATCTTATAACTTTCTTGATGTTTCTGTTATTTTGAGGTTTTTAATCAAATTATGTCATGCATGGCTCGATATACTTCCTTTTTGGTTTGGTTTTCTTGGGAAGGTTTTGGTTTGACCGGATTGGCAGACCTAACTTGCACAAAGGGTATTCATAAAAAAACCTAATTTTGGATTGCAGAGGAGCTTCAGCGAGTGCAAAAGAAGAAGACAGAGTCCCTTGCTGCTTTTGCTTCAGCTATGTTCCTGAAATTAAACCACAAGAAGCAGATCCTTATGACATTTATCAGCAATTCCAGATCCATCAAAAACAATCATCATCTCGCTATTATACTGCCACTTCGGTTGCTCCTGATGGGATACCACCAAAGTTCCTTAAGAGAACGTATTGGACCGTTGGGTATTCGAATTCCGAAGACTTTGGTTTGACAGATGATGCAAAAGGGATCAACACTAAGCTTCGTTCCGAGCTTCCCAAAGATGTGAATACAAGTGTTGTGGTAGGGAAATGGTATGTTCCTTACCTATTTGTGAAAGAAAGAGATGCAAAAGATCAGATTAAGAGCTCAACTTATTACAGCATGACTCTTAAACAAAGATGGGAAGAGGTTTACTCATGCGAAAACGTTAATAACAACGAAAAAGGAGGAGAGGTTGTACTTGATGTTGACCTAGAAACAGAAGTGGTGAAGCTTGAGGGACAAGAAACTCTTTCTAGAGAGACAAGTGGTGGTGGATTTGTTTGGTTTAGTGTTTTAGGGGATGAGAGACAAGACAAGAAAATAGGTCTTGGGTCTGTGGTCGTGGAGAGGATGAAATGGGAAGAGGAAAGGTTTGGGTGGTTAAAGAAAGGCGTTGAACTAAGGTCTAGCATTAAGAGAATTGAGAAATTTGAAGGCGGTGGACCACATTGGAAGAGTTATAGATGCTATGTACTGGTAGAGACCTTTGAATTGAAGAGAATGGATGGGAGTTTGGTGTTGACATATGAGTTTAGGCATGTTGATAAGTTAAAGAGCAAGTGGGATTGAGTTTTATTTATCTTTGTTCAGTTTCTTTGTGTGTCATCTTTTGGTTCAATAATTAATTTGGCGAATAAGTTTTATGCAAGTTCATGTAATAATAAGATTACGGTCGCATTTAGTTTCATGTAAATGTCAATTTAATGAATCTAAATTTAGTTGATTTTTCTTCTTGAATGTTTTAAATACTTCCTTAGTTATCATTTTTAATATCATGGCCATAGCACATGTTGTAATCATCATTCCAACAACTTTTGTAAACCCTCCATTTTTATATAATTTAACTTTCTACAAAAAACAAACAAAATCTTCCTTGAAAATTGCTGATAACGTGTTTTGATTCTACCAATTTAAAAGTCTTCACATACGAGTTTAGACATGTTTATAGGTAGAAGAGAAAATGAGATTGAGATCTTATCCAGCTTGATTCTCATGTCTGCATAATTTATTTAATTTTATGATGTCTCTTAAATTCTGCTTCAAAGGTTCTGTTTTTTGGGTCCTCTGTTTCAACACAAAAGCTCTGTTTTGCAGAATTGCTCAAATGAACAATTATGAAGTAAAGGTTATAACTTTGGAATTCAAAGTAGATAAAACCTAGAATTTTAAAACAATGGGATGTTACATAAAAACTGCCAAAAAAAGACTTCCATAAAAGCAAAGTCAAGATCTTGGAAAAGTCTTTAGACAGTAACGCGTAAAACATTGTTTATTCATTTCTTTTGTGTTGTTTCGTATTATCCTACTCTATATATATAGAACCAATCACAACTTATACGAATCACAAAAACCACTGTCATTTTCTAACTTATCCATTCACCACCAAACATGTATGTTACAAGGCGTTTGTCGGAATACCAAAGAAACAGATCGGAGTTGCCGGAAAGTCCAAACTCCGGCGTACTTATAATTCAAGATGAAGAGTCAAAACCAACTTGTTGCTTCGGATCTTGCTACGAAGCTGGACTCAAAGGCTTACCGTTTCCACAAAACGCAAAGCTGACTGTGAATTACAGCATCACTGTTGATAACGTGACCACTGCTTATCGTGATCCTGTCGTTTTTATTCCGGTTCTTGATCAGCCCTTATCTTCAAACCGTTACTACGCGATTAAACGAAGCGGGAAACACTCAGGGTATGAGCAAAATTTTAACTTTCTTGATTTTGGATGTGATATATCAAGAATTTGCATATAGGATAATCTAAGAAACAAGTCTTTATGTTGTAACTTTGTGTTGTAGAGAAGCTTCGGCTAATGCGAAAGAGGAAGACAGAGTCCCCTGCTGTTTTTGTTTCAGCTATGTTCCTGAAGCTAAGCCACAACAACCAGATCCTTATGATATATACCAACAATTTGAGATCCATCAACCGAAATCGCTGTCGAGAAATTACTTTGCGACATCCGTTGCTCCTGATGGGGTACCACCGGAGTTTCTTAAGAGAAAGTATTGGACTGTTGAGTACTCGACATCAGAAGACTTTGGTCTAAGAGATGATGCAAAAGGTATTTACAATGAGATTCGTTCTGAGCTTCCTAATGATGTGAATACAAGTGTTGTGGTAGGGAAATGGTATGTTCCTTTCATATTTGTGAAGGAAGGAGATGCAAAGAATCAGCTTAAGAGCTCAACTTATTATAGCATGATTCTTATCCAAAGATGGGAAGAGGTTTACTCTTGTGAAAACGCTTACAACGAGAATCGCGAGGTTGTAGTTGATATTGAAGTGGAAACAGAAGTTGTGAAGCTTGAAGGACAAGAGATTGGGAAAAAGACAAAAAGTGTGGATGAAAATGGGGTTGCTTGGTTTGAGATTGCAGACAAGAGGATGGGTTTGAGAACTGTGGTGACTGAGAGGATGAAATGGGAAGAGGAGAGATTCGGGTGGAAAAGCGAACCGCGGAGAGCAGTGGTTAAGAGATCTGAGAGATTTGATGGAGGTGGTTCGAATTGGAAGAATTATAGATGTTATGTGTTTGTGGAGAGCTTTGAGTTGAGGAGAAAGGATGAGAGTTTAGTGTTGGCATTTGAGTTTAAACATGTTGATAAGTTGAGAACCAAGTGGGAATCATGAGAGGGTCTTATGTTTAAGTATGTGTGTTGGTAATGTTTTTCTTCAGTTGTTAAGATAAGCTAATAAAAATTTGGAGTTTCTTTCGTTTGCAAACAAACTGAAATGTTTGGCAACAATTAGTTGAAAATTTCTGAATCCTGATCAATTATCTATCTAAATCTAAAGTGAGTGTTATGTGTTCAGATTCTTGGGACAATGTTGCGAAAACCTATTAACAAGCTTCAACAAACAAGAAAATAATAATTAAAGATGAAAAGAGGAAACCATCTTATCATCTTTCCATAACATATAAATCTACAGTTTATGCAAAAATTTATTTAGTACTTTTAATTAGAACTGAAATGTATATGAATCTAAAAATTATATGCCAAATATATTTAGTATTTTTAATTAGAATTTAAATGAAATATAAATCTAAAAACTATATGCCAAAAGTTAGTTTGTTAATATATACTGTGAAATGGATTATGATCTAAGATATTACATAAACGTACCATTCTTAATTTTATTTAAATTTAGCAATATGTTTTGATATTATAAGAAAATAATAAGATAAAAATAAGTAAAACATATGGAAAACATAAGAATATAGGTGAAATAATAATTAATAGATGATTACTGTCATTTGATTATGTTTTTGTCAATTGTATACACTCTTTATAATATTCATCATTTTGACTTAAGTGTTTTGTATTTTATGTGCTTAAACTTTTATTAACAGTTATTAACAATAAATAGAAATAGACTTTAATGTAAAACCAAATTTGTTCTACTTAGGTCGGAGACCTTATTTAAAATAAAATGAAAACTTTCTAATTATATATATGATGATTTAGTATGTACATACCCTATTTATCGTCTCCTTGCCGATTGCGTTTGGTACCACTACCTTCTGATTTCTCCTGATATGGTGGTTCTGGTTTCTTTGAGCCGAGCAGTAAGTGAATCTTGAATCTTGTCTCTCCCTTTTTCGCCTGCAACAATAATTATTCTTGTATCTCTCTCAAACTCTTTTTGAATCTTTGATTTCATCATTTCTAAATTTCACAATGATATGGATGAAGAAGAGCGGAGGCAATGGACGAATTATGTAGGAATCAAAAGATACAAAATTTCAACTCAAATTGAAACGGATAACCCAAAAAGAATTTTACTTTACTGCCAACAACTTTGTCATATAGACAAAAAGAAAATGAGATTCAACTTAAAGTCTAAGAAAAATATAAATGCTATTAAAAGTTCCATCCTTTATTTTTACAAAATTGAAGCTAGGACTATACTGTAAGTTGTGGGGTTTTAAATAATTTTTGGATTTTAAATAACTTTTGGATTTAGCAAAAATAAAAGAAATTAAAAAAGCGGCAAACATGTCGCGTTAAAATTTTGTTTAGAAAAAAGTGAGAACTAAAATAAGATGATGGATTTTTTTAGATTGTCACTGAAATCTTTTTTTTTTCCTTAAAATCTTCCAAAAACTATCCTTTCAATTTTTTTAGAAAAACCACATTTAAAAAAATCTTCAATCGGTGAAAACGAGTTTTTTGAAAACAAAATATAGTAAACATTCAAGGTCTTAAATTTTTTGTTAAGATTTAAGAAGAAAAATAACTGTTAAAAATGCAGAAATGGTTTCCGGAGATTGATGATCATCATTTTTTTTTTCTTTTCTTAGTGATCATATTTATGTTTTACATTTATCGTCTAATGCAAAACGGGCTGGTGTAAGAAAATTATCTAGACTGGGCTTTGTAGGTGAGATTTACATTTAATATGTGAGCCCAAATGCTTTCATCTTTTTTTGTTTGAAACTCTTAGAATTTCTACAGAGGCCCATTGTTTAAGATCTGTACAACAAAGCCCTATAAAATTATTTAGCCGCCCCTTATGACGTAGGCAAGTCAACGTAAGCATTACTTCTTATATTTGGAATCTTCTTTGAAAATTAAATTGCTGATTGTAACTTGCTTTTTGATTCTAGGGACCATTTAAATAATAGTCTTCACATACGAATTTAGACATGTTTATAGATTGAAGAGAAAATGGGATTAAGAGCTTATCCAACTTTATTCTCTTGTCTGCAATTTATAATTTATTAATTTTATGATGCCTCTTAAATTTTGCTTCGATGTTTCTGTTTTTTTTTTGGGTGCTCTGTTTCAACACAAAAGCTCTGTTCTGCAGATTGCTCACATGAACAAATACGAAGAAGTAAAGGTCATAACTTTGGAATTCAAAAGTGGATAATAACTTAAAAATTGAGTGACAGAATTTTAAAACAATGTGAGGTGACTTAGAAACTGCCAGAACAAAAAGACTTCCGTAAAAGCCAAGTCAAGATCTTAGAAAAGTCTTTTAGACAGAACCACGTAAAAGTTTCTTTCATTCTTTTTTTTTTTTTTTGGGGGTTACAAATTTTTCTTCTTCTTCGTATCCTACTCTACATATATATAGACCCAATCACAACTCATATGAATCACAAAAACCACTGAAATATCTTCACCGGTTATAACAAAAAAATGTATGTTACAAGGCGTTTGTCGGAATACCAAAGAAACAGATCGGAGTTGCCGGAAAGTCCAAACTCCGGCGTACTTATAATTCAAGATGATGAGTCAAAGCCAACTTGTTGCTTCGGATCTTGCTACGAGGCTAAACTCAAAGGCTTACCGTTTCCACAGAACGCGAAGCTGAGTGTATATGAAAGCCGCACATTTCTTGAGAAGACCCTTACTCATCTTCTGTCTCAGTCCATTACTTATGTTCCTGTCGAGCCTGTCGTTTTCATTCCGGTTCTTGATCAACCGGTATCTTCAAACCGTTACTATGCCATTAAAGGAAGCGGGAAACACTCAGGGTATGTATGACTTAGTAGAATGAAGCAAAATCTAAACTTTCTTGATTTTTGACGTGATTTACAAGGATTTGCATATAGAGTATTGATTAGTAACTCTAAGAAACAAGTCTTTATTTGTAACTTTGTGTTGTAGAGAAGCTTCGGCTAATGCGAAGGAGGAAGACAGAGTCCCCTGCTGTTTTTGTTTCAGCTATGTTCCTGAAGCTAAGCCACAAGAAGCAGATCCTAATGACATATATCAGCAATTCCAGATCCATCAAAAACGATCATCATCTCGCTGTTACACTGCCACTTCTGTTGCTCCTAACGGGATACCACCAAAGTTTCTAAAGACAAAGTATTGGAACGTTGAGTATTCGACATCAAAAGACTTTGGTCTAAGAGATGATGCAAAAGGTATTTACACTGAGATTCGTTCTGAGCTTCCTAATAATGTGAATACAAGTGTTGTGGTAGGAAAATGGTATGTCCCTTTCATATTTGTGAAGGAAGGAAATGCAAAGGATCAGCTTAAGAGCTCAACTTATTACAGCATGATTCTTATCCAAAAATGGGAAGAGGTTTATTCTTGTGAAAACGCGTATAACGAAAACCGCCAAGTTGCTGTTAATGTTGAAGTGGAAACAGAAGTTGTGAAGCATGAGGGACAAGAGATTGGGAAAAATACAAAAAGTGTGGATGAAAATGGGGTTGTTTGGTTTGCGGTTGCAGACAAGAGGATAGGTTTGAGATCTGCGGTCATGGAGAGAATGAAATGGGAAGAGGAGAGATTCGGGTGGAAGAGCAAACCGCAAAGAGCAGTGGTTAAGAGATCTGAGAGATTTGATGGAGGCGGTTCGAATTGGAAGAGTTATAGATGTTATGTGTTGGTGGAGAGCTTTGAGTTGAGGATAATGGATGAGAGTTTAGTGTTGGCATTTGAGTTTAAACATGTTGATAAGTTGATAACCAAGTGGGAATCATGAGAGCTTCTTGTGTTTAAGCTTCCTTATGATTCAGAGATCGTCTAAAGAATAGAATTGAAAATAAAAAATATGATGTGGATACCATGTTATATCATAACAGACTGTTATTAACAGTCTAATTATAAGTCCGTAGTTGGCATAATTTTCAATTTTGAACCAAAACCGAGTTGAAAGTGGGTGTTTCGCTTTTTGTTTGGTATATTTGACAAGTTTATTATAGATTTGTCTGTTCACCACAAAATTAATACACGTAGCCTAGTCATTAGCATACTTAATTAATGATATTAACATATTTAGTGTATTAATATTGCCATTGTGTTATCCGCATAATTCATGTGGACAAAAAAAGAGAGAGACTAGTTTACCATATACTAAATATTAACAAAAAAAAATGATTTGAACTTTGTATTTATATTAAATAAATTTCAAATTTTCTTTCCTAATACTAGATTTAACAATATATTTTAGTTATTTCTTACTAAATTTAAATTGTTGAAACTAACACTAGAATATATGATGTGGATACAATGGGAATAAAAAAGTCTAATTCTATTTGACATATGTTAAATAAGATCTACTCAAAATTTTCTTTACTATAATATATTTAGATATTATTCTATTTGAGTAGTTGATGTAAAAAACATGTAACTAGACCAAAAAGATTATGTAAACAATATATATATATATATGAAGATGAAGGCATTATATTCATTCATCATCAAAACAAGAAGTCAAGAATGGAGAAAAAGAAGAGAGTGATTGCATCATCATCACAAAGAAAGAGAAGAAGAAGAGAAGATCATACCAAAAACAGAAGAAGAGAAGATAATCACGTTCAAGGAGTAGTACTGCCATACGACGTCCAAGAGGAAATCCTCTTGAGGCTTCCGGTCGAATCAAACATTCGATTTAAGGCCGTGTCAAAACAATGGAGATCAACTATTGAATCTCTACGTTTCGCAGAGAAACACTTGAAGTTCGTCGAACAATCCAAAAATGATCATCCGAAAATCCTATTCGCCTCCAGAGGACATCAATATCATGAGTTTAAGACATTCTGCTTGGATTCTGCTTCTCTTCGAGTCTTTAATCCTCTATACATCCCTCGACGACAATTGATCGAAATTTCTGGAAGCTGCAATGGTCTTGTTTGTATCTACATGAAGAGGGAACTCTATAGTAAGAGGGAAGCATCCATATACGTAGTTAACCCGACCACGAGGTGGTTCCGACAACTTCCTCAAGCTAGGTATCAGATATTAATGCATAAGGCAAAATACACTCGGGAAACTTTAAGAGACATTAATCCAGTCCCTCGACTGGCGTTCACAAAGGCCACATTGTGTGATTATAAATTGGTGTGGTTATACAATTCTGATAAATACAATTCTGATGCCATGAGTTTAAACGATGGATTTACCAAGTGCGAGGTTTTCGATTTTAGGGCAAACGCTTGGAGATACTTGACTTGCACTCCAAGGTACCGAATATTTAACGACCAAACCCCAGCATCCGCAAACGGATTAGTTTATTGGCTCACGGAACGATACAATGGCGAAACCAAAGTTATAGTTTTTGATCTTCAAACTGAAACTTTTCGATTGCTACCTAAGAATCCAGCTGCTAGTTCACATCCAGACCATATCGACTTGTGCATTTTGGATAATAGACTGTGTATGTCGAAGAGAAAGCGCGGTACAATGATCCAAAAGATTTGGAGCTTGCAATTATCATCAGAAGAGACATGGATAAAGATTTATACTATAGATCTTCGATCTTGTTTATCATGGTCTCAATCTGGATTAATTGCTTTTAGTTGGACCCGCATGGATGTGATTCGACCATGCACACCGGTTGCAATATTGAAGAACAAGGAGATCCTACTCAATCATCGTTATGGTGATGGTCTGGTGAAGTATGATCCTCAAACAAAATCTTACTCTTCAATTTACAATCATCTTTCTTGTAGTAGAGTTGTTCCTTATTTCCAGACTTTAATATCTCATATCTAAAACATTGCTTTTAACAATCAAGAAGACCAACAAAAATAAAGAAACGATCTTACATCTTTGCAATCTCTTCAAAGAAGACGAATCTGAAACTTTTTTCTCACTAAGTTTTTCTGGAGAGATAAAAAAGACAAACCCAATTTTCCAATGTAGTAAAAAAACGAGAAATTACAGAACAAAACCTCTGTCTCTACAACTAAAAACATCTTACAATGAACTCTTCTGCTTTTGATTACCAATTTCTTCCAACCGTTTCCATATCGCCTCACGTTTTGCGTCAATTTCAGCTTCTTTCGATTCATTTTCTCTAAACTTAGCAAGACATTCCTTAAACAACTCTGCATCAATGTCATTAAATATCTTCTGCACGTTCAGCGTTAAGCTATGAACAGCTTGGTTCCAATGCTTCTGAGTGTTTCTCTCCAATGCAGGGAAAATGATTGGAAGAATCACTTTACGGTTCTGCATTATTAGATTCTCGATGTGATCGTTGTTCCATAAGAACAAAGCTCTTTCTGCAACCTGCAAAACATATTAAAAAAAAAAAGACTCAATCTTTTGTTCTTTCTTGTGCTTGCTTATATAAAGATTCAAGCTTTCATCAAAACATGTGCAATGAGTACGCAGGTACTAATCATCGATATACACTTAACAGAAATAATCACAAAGCTTTTAGTCTATCAAAATATCACACATTTCAATCTTGTGAAGAATTGTTCCCATCATTCATCATTCTCAGAATCAGCAAACCGTAGGAAAAGATCATTACCTGAAAATGGAGACTGTTCAAACACCGAGCAACTTGGCGAAACAATGGGACCATACACCGCTGGAATTCTGGTGGTTGAGTTGCTTCTAATACTTCCTCTAGCTCGTTTAGAAACATGACTTCTTTGGAACTATTTGTGACGGGCCAAGACTTGAGTAGTCCTCTTATAACCGTATCAGCAAGTTTGCAATCTTTTTCCACAAACTGTGTGATACAATAAGACAATTGCTGATGATACATTTGCAAGCTTTTCGGTTTGTGAAGAGGTAACAATGCTCTAACCAGAAACACTTTATGCTCATCTTTAAGCGGCAGAGCAAATCCATTGATGATACTTCCCAAAATCTCTAGAAACTCAGCAATCCCGTTGTGTTTCTCAGTCTCAAAAACAAACCGATAGAAAATGTTGTTAATGGATTTTCTTATGAAAGGACGATGAACCATAAATTTACCGTAGATGCGATGTAGAACAGTCTTAAGACAATCTCTTTCTCTAGGATCCTCGGAATCAAATAAATCAAGTATCCGTGAGACAAAAGATTGGTCAATGTATTTCTTAGCCAGCTTGGTGTCTGTCTCCGGTGAAGCAATAAGCCGCAGGAGAATCTCATAGACAAGCTGCAAGTGAGGCCAAGTAGGATCCATGGAAGGCTCTTCTTCCTCCAAGTCTAAGGCATCAATAACTTTATTCTCGCGCGGTTGAGGATTCAAGGTTCTGAATATGTTAACAGAAACCATTCTAACCACTTCTTGAATAACCGTTTCGCTGAACTTTCCATTGGGAGAAGCCACATAATCCACAAGCTCAAGCAATGTCTGCCGCTTAATCTCCTTTTCCTTAACGTTCTTCGTTGGATCCGAGAAATCGAACACTACACAGCACAAACTGAGCTTCTTCACAAACAAGTTCTGCTTCTCTGCATTAGGAACATCTTTAAAACCCGGCAACGCTTCATACGGCGTAAAACCGTTCCCATTTCCTTTCAAATTCCCATCTTTAAACCCTGAATCAGCAGCAGGTTTTACAGCAGGAGCGTTCTTGGTGTGAGAATTCCCCGATTTCCCAGCGCCATTATCACTACTTTTAGAAGTAGATGCATTGGAACTAGATGAAGAAGAATGGTTCTTCGAAGAAGACTTCTTAGGAAGCTTACTTAGAATCTGTTTCCACATAGTTTATTAAACTCAGATTCTTCTCTGTTCATGTCCCCAAAACCACACCTAGAAGAACAAATTCATCAACTCCATCTGAAAAACAGTAAAAATCAAGACACCCAGATCAAGAACCTGAAACCTTGAAGATATTATACTATAAACACACAAACTAGTTTAATCAAGAACCTGAAATGGAGAAAAATCCCTAATTTACAAAATTTTGTTACAGCAAAACCATCTTTTTTCTTCTTCTTCCTTATTCACTCTCGAAACTCAGAAAAAAGAAAAAAAATCGCCACTCCAAACCAAAAAAATAGAAACTTTGGATTCTGATTCTGAAACAAGGGCAATCACAAAATCAAAAATCAAAGAGAAATCGTACATTACAATTTCTGAAACAAGATAAATCGCAAAATCACAATTTTAGGGAAAAGTGACAAACAATAAACAACAGAATTCGCCGATTGCACAAAACAAAGGTCAACAGTAGAAGAAAAAAAAATCGATGAATAATGAAAACATAAAACTTACAAAAAAAAATCACATTCAAGTTCTTCTTCCAAACCTCCTTCGTTGTTGTTGATTATTGACTTCAAACTAACAATCTTTAGCCTTTAGATTTGCCTCAAATCAATGCGAATTGTTCTTGTTCTTGATTTTTGTTTTCTTTCTTCTTCTTTGTGATTTGTGACTTCTCGTGATCCAGTTATCTATCATTCTTTCTTCTCTCCGATGGCTGATCAAACTTTTTTTTCTCAATTCTATTTTAATTTAATTTTCATTTTTTTTATTCCCACTTATTTTAATATTGTTTTTTTTTTTTGTGTGTGTTCGGTCTGGCCTGCCAGGTCCTCCTATCACTTGAATTATTAATATTTACAGAATTTTCAAGCTGACACTTCAAAATGTTTTAAATATCAACTTTTTTTTGCCGACCGTAACATTGTTATATGACATAGTTTTGTAATAAAATCGGTTATTTATTGGTTTGGTTTTTGGTTAAATCTATGATGAGTTTAATACGAACTTAATTTCGGTTTAGGGTTTGGTTATTGTTTCGTTTCAAAGAGTGTGTGTCTCATTCTTTGTGACATTTTTCATAGTTACTGCCTTACTGGTGCTCCTTTGGGCAAAGAACTTAAGGATCCTAAAGATGTAATCAACCTCATGTCCTTGCTTGATCTCTCTACTGAAAAGAGCAATGCCATTTCGACAAAACGTAGGTAGAGAAGACTATGAATTTTCTAGCAAAATTGTTTTATGAGCTTCAAATTTTTGTTGTTAATGATGGATTTTGAATTGATTTTAGAAATATGATAGCCAATGTTTTAAGTAAGAAGCGGTTTTACTAAGAAGTTGTTAGGATCGAAGTAGTTTCCTTCAGTAAATACATACTACTTTTATAGTTATCAATCACTAAAACAGTAACACTTAAGTTCGATATTTTTATGCTGTTAATCCGTTATTTTTTTTATGAAAAAAATTTAATATCGTTTACCGTTAGTTTCGCGCTAATTTTTTTTACTAGTTTATATCACAAAAACATTCTTACCAAAACCTTAAATATGTAATTATCCTTATCCAAAACCAAATCTCAAGACTAAAACAAAACCTTAATTAAAGTTAAAACCTTTTTTTTTTGGCTTCCACATTTCATTTTGTGCTTAGGGGGGCTTGTGTTGTTGTTGACGGTGGTGGGAACAAAGGAACATCATATCCATTGTCTCTCCTGATACACAGCAATGTTCATTTCCGACAAATCTCGTCCTAGTACTGATTTCTACAAAGACGATAATCCCAATTCCTCCACCACCACCACACGCGATATGATGATCGATGTCACCACTACCAACGAATCAGTAGATCTACAATCTCACCACCACCACAATCACAATCACCACAATCATCATCTCCACCAGCCTCAGCCACAACAACAGATTCTCCTCGGAGAAAGCAGTGGTGAGGATCACGAAGTTAAAGCACCAAAGAAACGAGCAGAGACATGGGTTCAAGACGAAACTCGTAGCTTAATCATGTTTCGTAGAGGTATGGATGGTTTATTCAACACATCCAAATCTAATAAGCATCTCTGGGAACAGATATCAGCGAAGATGAGAGAAAAAGGGTTTGATCGATCTCCAACTATGTGTACTGATAAGTGGAGGAATCTATTGAAAGAGTTTAAGAAAGCAAAGCATCATGATAGAGGAAATGGATCAGCGAAGATGTCGTATTACAAGGAGATTGAAGATATTCTTAGAGAGAGGAACAAGAAAGTGACACCACAGTATAATAAGAGCCCTAATACACCACCTACATCAGCCAAAGTTGATTCCTTTATGCAATTTACTGATAAAGGTATAAACTTTGGCTTAGTTGTAGGTTTCTCAATCTATTTGTTTGGCATGAATTGCAGGTTTCTTGATTTGGATTGAGGGAACCTAAATGTGATTATGGTTTTTGTTGCTACAATTTGGGAAATTCTTATCTGTATCTTAGGCAGATAACATACTACATTTTAGAGTAGGTTACTTAATGTGGTTTCAGTTATCTTTAAAGAAGATGACAGTTTTGGTAAATGAATCTGGTTATGTGGATTTTGTGCTTTTAATTTTCTTTTGTTTTGGTAACTTTATCTTTCATTGTAGGTTTTGATGATACGAGCATTTCTTTTGGATCCGTTGAAGGTACTTATCTATCACTATTGTTTGTTTATTATAGTATCATGCTATGTATACAAAGGGGTGAGATTTGTTTGTCTACTGCCTCTTGAAGTTGTCTTTTAAGTTGGTGTTAAACTCCTCTCTGAGTGAGCAATAGTAGAGATATTAACTTGCTTTGTGAACATTTGGGACTGAAAACAAATAGATGCATTTGCGAGAGGAAAGTTATCGGTAGTCTGAGTTCTCTGTAATTGGAACAAAAAGGTTAACATGATTGTGCCGTAGAATTCACTGACAGTTTGTGTTAGATGGTTTAGTTTAGTTTCTAGAGGATGTGTGTGCGTGTTTGATAAGTGTTTATATCTATGTTCTAGCTAATGGCAGGCCAGCCTTAAACCTTGAAAGGCGTCTTGATCATGATGGTCATCCTCTTGCAATCACTACAGTTGATGCTGTTGCAGCAAATGGAGTTACTCCTTGGAATTGGAGAGAAACTCCTGGAAACGGCAAGTCTCAGAAAAAGCTTTTAATTTTCTAAAAGGCCAAAAGATATGTTTTTTTGAAATTTATGTTCCAAGCATGGTGTAATATGTGTAAGAATCGACGTTTTCTAATTCTTGAGAACCAAAATCACTCTTATTGTGAGGTTGCTTCACAGCCTCTGTTCCTCTGCTTGACTTAGTTTTTCGGTCTCTTTATAACTGAGTAGAGCTTTTTATTTGTTTCATGTTTATACAAGCAGGTGGTGATAGTCATGGTCAGGCTTTTGGTGGGAGGGTCATAACAGTGAAATTTGGTGACTATACAAGAAGAATCGGCGTTGATGGAAGTGCAGAAGCAATCAAAGAGGCAATCAGATCTGCTTTTGGGTTAAGAACTCGACGAGCTTTTTGGTTAGAAGATGAAGATCAGATTATTCGCTGTCTTGACCGAGACATGCCCTTAGGGAACTATCTACTCCATCTCGATAATGGTGAGATTAAATTTGCCACCATTCGTATCGTTTGAACTGTGTGTTTTTTACTGAATTCTCAGTATGCAAAACCCATCTTGCAGGACTGGCCATTAGGGTTTGCCATTATGATGAATCCAACCAATTACCAGTCCATTCAGAAGAGAAAATCTTCTACACTGAAGAAGATTACCGCGATTTTCTGGCTCGACGGGGATGGACATGCCTGCAAGTTGATGGTTTTAGGAACATAGAAAACATGGATGATCTTCAACCTGGTGCCGTCTATCGAGGAGTGAGATGAGAAAATAAGATCACAAAAGTTCTTCTCCAAATCTATCAACAGTCCCCTGTAGATATGATCTCATTCCCTTTATACATTTCTTCCTTTTTCCCCCCTGAGAAGAACAAATAATGTACTTGCTCAAATATGACATATCAACTTGCATTTATCGTACAGACCAGTAGTAAGACTTCAAAATTGTTTTTTGTTCTGTTGTTACATTTGTAAGAACATGACATAAGAGATGTGAATAAAATGTTCACAATCAGACGAGCGAGTGTGTGTGGGGTGTCAGAGTCACTCAAATGTTCTTGTATGAAATGAGTGTCGATCTTGTGAATCTGCAAAGTCAGAGAAACTTTCTGACAAAAACACTAGAATGATTTGATTAACAAACACAAACTCACTTTTTGTTTAACTCTGCGGATTCGATCAACTTGGGATCGCTCTCGATCCATGTGAACGGTACAGCCACATCGGTATCAGTATATGCCAACACATCAAACACACCTTATCCAACCACCAAGCCGCATTTAGACTAACAATGAGAGGGAAGTGCAAGTCTCTCTCTCTCTTACATGATTCATGGAGACAAGGCAAGCAAGTTATGATGGAAGCAACTTGTCTCGTTAAAGCTTGAATCTCCCTCATGATCTCCTTACCACTTTTATCCCTTGAGACACAGTGAAAGGACAAAGACAGAATCAAGACAGCATAAAACATCACAAACATCCAATTGTAGTTAATTAAGTTAATTGAGCATAAACAGAATCAAGACAGCATAAACACCACAAACATACAAAAAAAGAGTAATATATGCATTTAAACTGAGTTAATTAAAAAAAATTTGCATAAATAAACCAACTTATCTTAGATCTAAACCACACGAAAGTGGACTAACATTGGTTATAAGCAGATCATCACGGATAAGATTCCATTAGTTAAAGTTTGCATCAATAATTGTTTTTGTCGAGAGGGTTGCATCAATTATTGCATCTTTCTTTCTATCTTTTTTTCTTTCTCTTAGAATCGAATTTTAACATATACTTTGATAATGATATATTTTGGTTCTTTTCACTTCACGATTACTTAGAACATTGTGAATAATGACACTTCAAAATGAAAGGGATAAGAGCCGGACAATAATAGGGAATTATAGAAATAACATAAGAAAATTCCACAAAAATCACTACAATTAAATTTTAGACAATGAAAAAAAAATACATGTATGTTATGTTATAAAATTTTAAAATATGGTTTCCAACAAAAATAAATTTGGTTTCTTGCAACCAACCAACGTGAATTAATTTTACAAAGAAGAACGAATTACAAAAAAAAATCGTTTTTAAATCATATTGTAGAACTTATCAGTCGAAGAGAATGGCTGACACTTGACGGGTCAGTTATAACTTATAGTCTTGGACTCTTGGAAATGATCATGAGTTATAGAAAGATCACAAACTTCAATCTATAATATATTGTTGACCGCCGATAATATTTTAGCTATTTATTGGATGTATAAAGATCCATATGAATACCAAAAGAAGGAGTTTTATAACCATTCACCTAACACAAATTCAAATAGAAATAGAAAAAATAACAAATAAGAGGAGGAGAAGAAGGAGACTTTTGGCAAAAGCCAAGAGTCATACATATACCAATTACATAAGGTGTGATGTTTTTTTTGCTGTCTGTCACATTCAAGCTGACCTACCAAAGCTCTCAAAGTGGAGCATCTATGTGTCTTGGTATGAAGTCACGATTTGATAAATATATAACACCATATGTTGTGTCAAATTATAAAATATCTTGATATACAGTAAGCAACACATTATTTTGATAAAGACATCTAGAAGCATCTTCTTATGTAATGTACATATCTAAATTGATGAAAACAAAACACCATCATTAAATATAGTGATCAAAAGTCAAAATCTCCACCTTGATTATTCTAAAACAATGGTTGAAGTAAAAGTGTTGTTGCATGTTGAGTGTGATAATTGGCATTTGAGAGTAACTTTCACTATAATGAATGTTGATCTGATAATAATTTACCTAAGTGACAGTGTTGTTGTTACGCAAAAACAAAATAAAAATAAAAATGAAGAGCTTAATATTGGAGAAAATTTGGAATTATTATGGTAATTAAATAACTTTTTTTTTTTTGGCTAGATTTAAAACAAATTTGGCTATTGGCAAAGCTCATTGGCTGTGAAAAGGAATATTTACAAAAATCTGCTACGTTGCAGTCTTGCGTACACCGGCCCAGCCCATAGGATCTAAGCTTTAAACCTCGAATATTCCATCAGCCGGCGCGTGAAATGCAAGCGCCATTAGTTTCCCCAAATCCGTTCTTAATCCTACCATAAACGATGGGTAAAAACAGTGTCAAAAAATGGTAAATAAGAAGAAAAGTAAAGTACAATTTAGTAACATTAAATAGTGAATCTAATCTTATAAACTTTTTTCCCAAGAAAAATTGTCAGCCACTCGATAATATTTCATCATCACGTTCTTCTTCTCTTTTAAATAACCCTAAAGCCTCACCAAACCCAAACCCCCTCACTCACTATTTTCACATTCTTCTCTCTCGATATCATCTAAACCTCTCTCGATCTCAATTTCCAAAAATGGGTGAGCTTCACTCGCTCTTCTTGATCTGCGTTTCTTCGATTTATTGTTTCCTCGTTGATGAATTTTGAATCTGATCGTGTTTTTGATTTTCTCTTTTTGGTTTATGTAGCTGACAAGAAGATCAGAATCGGAATCAACGGTGAGTGTTTTTCTTATCGAAATCCATAGGTTTTTTGGTTAGTTTACAGTAATTTGTAATCTGAGTTTTTTGATCTTGGTGAAGGTTTCGGAAGAATCGGTCGTTTGGTTGCTAGAGTTGTTCTTCAGAGAGATGATGTTGAGCTCGTCGCTGTCAACGATCCTTTCATCACCACCGAGTACATGGTTCGTATTTCTCTTCCTTTCGATGCTGGTTCGATCTGGATTTGAGTTTGTTATATAGATCTGAGTATCGGTTTGATGTATTCTTTGTCTATGTTGATTCTCTGTGAATTCGTTTTGATTACTTCGGTGATAAACGTTTTGATTGAATATGTTTATGGTATGGATTTGTTGCAGACATACATGTTTAAGTATGACAGTGTTCACGGCCAGTGGAAGCACCATGAACTTAAGGTCAAGGATGATAAAACTCTTCTCTTCGGTGAGAAGCCAGTCACTGTTTTCGGCATCAGGTACATAATCCTGGATGATTTCCTTATATCTGTGATTAAGACTTGTGAAATTCTTATTTGTGGTGTTTTATTTCATGAAGGAACCCTGAGGAGATCCCATGGGGTGAGGCTGGAGCTGACTTTGTTGTTGAGTCGACTGGTGTCTTCACTGACAAGGACAAGGCAGCTGCTCACTTGAAGGTTTGACTTTGGACCTTTTATATAATATAAAGATTTCGAGAAGTTGTTTATAAGATCTATATCATCATATTGTTTCATTGTTATTCAGGGTGGTGCTAAAAAGGTTGTCATCTCTGCACCAAGCAAAGATGCTCCCATGTTTGTCGTTGGTGTCAACGAGCATGAATACAAGTCTGATCTTGACATTGTTTCCAACGCTAGTTGCACCACTAACTGCCTTGCTCCTCTTGCCAAGGTATCTTCTTCTACTTGTGTAATTTGTTCTGAATTCTGAACTTCGAGTTGAATCGTATCGCTTACTGTTGCAATCTGTTTATGCAGGTTATTAACGACAGATTTGGAATTGTTGAGGGACTCATGACCACTGTCCACTCTATCACTGGTACGTATTTATACCTAGTTTCATTAGGTTGATTCTTGAAAATATATATTTGAATTTGACTCAGTAATAACTGTTGTTTTGGTAACCAGCTACTCAGAAGACTGTTGATGGTCCATCAATGAAGGACTGGAGAGGTGGAAGAGCTGCTTCCTTCAACATTATTCCTAGCAGCACTGGTGCCGCCAAGGTATCATTTCAGGCTCTTATGTGTTTAAAAGAGTTAGTTAGTGTTTTTTGTTAATTTTGATTGAGAAATTATGTTGAATCTTATTTTTGTATCATGCTTGTTGATAGGCTGTTGGCAAAGTGTTGCCATCCCTCAATGGAAAATTGACCGGAATGTCTTTCCGTGTTCCAACCGTTGATGTCTCAGTTGTTGATCTCACCGTTAGACTTGAGAAAGCTGCAACATACGATGAAATCAAGAAGGCCATCAAGTAAAAACCGACAACACTCACTCGCTCTTAGCCGCAAATAAATAGATATTCGATGACTTACAATGATTTTGGTTAAACTTTTCAGGGAGGAATCTGAAGGCAAACTGAAGGGAATTTTGGGATACACTGAGGATGATGTTGTGTCTACTGACTTTGTCGGTGACAACAGGTATGTAAATTATTATCTGTAGATTGATTGATACAGTTTTCTGATGTTATAAATGGCGAGAGCAAATAATTGAATGTTGGGTTTGTGTGTTTAGGTCAAGCATATTCGATGCCAAGGCAGGGATTGCATTGAGCGACAAGTTTGTGAAGTTGGTGTCATGGTACGACAACGAGTGGGGTTACAGTTCTCGTGTCGTTGACCTTATCGTTCACATGTCAAAGGCCTAAGTTTACACTAGCGAGAGTTTGTGTGTGGTTGAGTTGTACTGTTCTGAATAAAAAAAGGAGAAAAAAACAATCGAGTTTTATGTTGGTTTCACTGATTCCATGCGTAGTCATGAGAGTTTGTAGCTTTGTTCTATCTGCTTTCTATTAATGTTACCTGCTTTATTCGCTGAAACCTTTGTTTTGGTTTTTTAAATGTTAATTGAGAGGTAGTTCATTGCTTTCTCGTGCTAACTCAAATCCAACTGGCAACTGCAACATGGCACGTCCACTTCTCATGTTTTAAAGGTCTATTGTACATGAGCTTCTCAACCAAAATGGTTCTTCTAGACACCTAGTTGCTAGTTTTCTTTAAAATCCTATGACCAAATGGGTTCTTCTAGTCTCATAGCTCACTCTAGATCAACCATCTTCGATTAAAAGCCACAGTTGCTGAGACAGATTTATTGGTTGACAAGCATCGCCACATTTTTTTTAACCAATCAGCCAAGTTTAGTATTTCCTTGCAATTACAAAGATCCAACAAATTGGTTGACATCTTTGTAAAATATGATTGATTTAAATTATTTAATTTGGCATGTTAACTTTATAGTTTTCAATAGTGGCATGTTATGGCATGTGATAATATGATAGTTTATTAGTCATAAATGTAAGTGAACATAATTACACCTCATGAGATAAGCTAGTTCAATAACATCAAAGAGAACAAAAACCAGACACATCAATTATAATGTTACATCACATTAACAATATATATGACAAAGCACACATAATTCTAGAATTTCAAACCGGAACCTTTGAGTTTCTCCTCGATGATCATATCGATTTTGTTTACCATTTCAGGGGTCATATAACTCTTCCAGTCACCAACTTTTCCTTTACGGAAATAACTCTTGAAATCTACTCCATCCAACGTTCCAGTTTTGTTGATCTCTAAACTGCTTAGATTACTTAGAGAGCAAAGTTCCAAGATCTTGTCTACAGATCCGCTATCTTCCTCTTCCTTAGTGAATGGACAATCCAAGAACTCCGCAAGTCTCTTGATCTGAGTACGAGGATCCGCTTTGAACTCCTCGTACATCATGAAAAGAACATGCTTAGGATCTTCCAAGCTGCCTTGCCAATAGCTCAAAGCATGGTCCTCAAAGGGACCGTATAGGGTAACTCCATTGCAGAATGACTCAAACATAGCCTCGAAAGAGTGATCATCCACTCCACTGATCTTTTCGCTTTGGCTGAAATCTCCCCATTCTACTCCCTTGTTGACATTGAGGAAATGCCAAAGAGACACCAACACGTCTTTCACGTTCCTGCACACGTACACGATCTTGCAAGAAGACTCCTTCAAGGGTGCTTTAAGTGCATCGAACGACATGTGAGTTGAGAACAATCTTGGAGATGATGATGATGATAAGAACTTGGTCAAGTCTGGTTTTGAGGTTTTGAGATACAGATCGAGCTCGAGGTACGGCACTATCTCATGAGGATTATGAGATAGCAGAGGATGATTATCTTCTTCTAAAGGATGTTTTGATCGTTGAATGAGTGCAAATGTGAGTGCCTTGATCCAACTTTTGGTTGACATTTCTGTAAATTGAGCAAATGAGCAATGCAGTAGAGAAATTTGTTTTATTGATCAAAGGAAACAAAAACCACACACCACTCACAATATTAAACTCTTAACCTTACACATCAAAGGAGCAAAGTAACTTCTATTACATTGCATTCAAGAAAAGAACAAACCGGCATTATTTATTAGGTTTGAGATTAAACCTGTTCAACACATAAATAGAGATATAAACTCTACAATTTCAAACCAGAACCTTGAAGTTTCTCCTCAACAATCATGTCGATTTTGTTTTCCATTTCAGGAGTCATATAACTCTTCCAATCACCAACTTCCCCTTTACGGAAAAAACTCTTGAAACTTAATCCTTCCGACAATTTTCCTGTTTTGTTGATCTCCAAACCGCTCAGGTTTCTTAGAGAGCAAAGTTCCAAGATCTTGTCTACACCTCCGTTATCTTCTTCTTCCTTTGTGAATGGACAATCCAAGAACTGAGCAAGTTTCTTGATTTGCACACGAGGCTCCGCTTTCAACTCCTCGTACCTCATGAAAAGCACATGCTTAGGATCTTCCAAGCTTCCTCTCCAATAGCTTAAAACATTTGCCCATAAGGGACCGCATAAGCTAACTCCGCTACAGAAAGACTTGAACAAAGCCTCGAGACTTACATTGCTTTCTCCACTCATGGAGTTTTCGAAACACCAAAGTGATACCAACACGTCTTTGACGTTCCTGCACACGTACACAATCTTGCAAGGAGACTCCTTCAAGGGTACTTTAAGCGCATCGAACGACATGTGAGTTGAGAACAATCTCGGAGATGATGATGGTAACTTGGTCAAATCCGGTTTCGAGCTTTTGAGATACAGATCGAGCTCGAGGTACGGCACTAGCTCATGAGGATTATGACTTAGCAGAGGATGATGGTCTGAAGGGTGTTGTGATCTTTGAGCGAGTGCGAATGTGAGTGCCTTGAGCCAAGTCGTACCCGATTTGGGGAAAGAAGCAACAATTATATCAGTTTCTTGTGGCTGAAAGTTTTTGTTGAAATTGAGGATTGCTTGGAGAATGTCTTTTTCGTACCAACATCCTTGGTACTTGAACAACTTGGTCCCAGAGCAATCTATGTCTGAAGGAAGTGAAGAGATCAAACTTGCACTTAGGTCTTCATTTTCGTCCTTCAAGTTCCTTGGAATCTCTATCACACCCATTTTTTTTTTTTCTGCTTCTGTGTCGAGTGTTGTGACTTATTGCAATCGCAAAATCACTTTTTATAGTGTTGCATGTTACTATTAGTTAAATAACGTAGTAGTTGATCACACTCACGTTATACACGTTAAAGGCTGTTGTTGTGTTTGAAAATAGACATCACTTCCCTTAATCCAAAGTATAGAAAGAAACAAAATGAAGAGATTTTGTTTACCTAATGTGTATCTTTGAAATCTTGAGAGATCCGTTAGAGCATCTCCAATGGTAAGAACTAGGCCTGCGAGTTCGGGTTCTCGGGTCGGGTCGGGTCGGAAAATTCGGGTTTCGGGTTAATTGTAAAATTTTAAATGTTGCCGAAGATAACCGAAATCAATTTCGGTTCGGTCGGTTCGGAAATCGGTTATTTCGGTCGGTTCGAAAAAATTGCATCTTAGCAGATGACTCTTCATGGAACTTGTCCCATGTAACTTAGTATCACAGCCAATCTGTTGGGAACAATACCGACACCTAGCTACACCTACAAGATCTTCCTTCTCAATATAATGCTGCCAAACTTCAGCTCTATGCGCTTGCTTTTTCTTTGCTTTCTTCGGCTTTGGAACATCACTGCTTGATCTCTCTGTCGTGGGTCTTCTTCTCCTTCCCGCAGAAGATTCTGGAGCAGTAGTACCATCAGCTTCCTCACCCAAAAAAGCATCGTTGTTGTCTTCAGTTTCCGACATCTACATAGAAGAGAATAAGGTTTGAGTCTTTGAAAGTTTGAATTGAAACAAGCAGAATACCTAGACAGACACAACCGGAAATGATAAATTGAGCAATAACATCGATTCGTAAAAGCCCCAAACCCAAAGACTGAAACCCTAAATCCCAAATCGAAATCGACACTTAAACAGAGAGAATAGAGGATTTCGAACTCACCTTATACCAAATCGGAGGACGAACAAGGAAGAATCACTGATAATCAGATGAGGAAGACAAGATTCAGTCGTCGGAAGTGAAAATCGAGAGTGAGGCTGCTCGAGGAAGTGAAAGAGATGAAATGAGATTAGGTTAGGTTTAATTTTTGGCTTTTATAGTTAGGTTTAATTTTCGGTATTCGTCGGTAACCGATCGGAATATCCGAACCGAACCGACCGAATAGAAAACCGAAGTCCTAATTTAATCTATTCCGATCGGTATATCTCCCATACCCGATGCTTGCCGAATTTCGTTTCTTCGGGTTCGGTCGGGTCGGAAAATTCGGGTCGGGTTTTTATCCCAGGCCTAGTAAGAACCATGTGGAGGCTCTCACAAATTTTTTAAACATAAATTTTGCATAATTTAAAGTTAAGAGCTTCTATTGAAATACAAAATACTTTCCTCCTCCAATGGTAAAACTTCATTAGGGGTTCTCTTGTTTAAATTTTTTAACACAATCATGATCATCAATTCATATATAAAAAACAGAAGAAGCTCTTGTTGATTTTGGATTTGTAATCTGAAAACTAATGCTAATGCTGTTCTCTAAACCCATCTTCACAGGTCCTCCCATTATGCTCTCTGCATCATTACCACAAACTAGTTGTAGTCTATTCACCCATCCTGCAACAATGTCTCAATGTTTTAAAAGTAGCTCGATCAGTCAATCAACAAGAACTAGAGATTTCAATTACTCATCACTTCCAAGCTTGGAAAAAACTTGAAATGGAAGTTCCAAATCATCAACAGATCCTTCAACAGCCTTCTGAACTTTCTCAAGCTTCTCTTCCTTGAAAGCACTCATGAACTCTTCCCTCACTGACAGAACCATGAATGATGTGTCAGGCTGAAACAAGAACATTTTCAGAGGCAACAAGCTGATCTTGCAGTGCTTTAAACTCAGCCTTTAAAGTTACCAATACTCTCTACAATGCCCGTCTGTTCTTTCTCTCCTCGCTTTATATCTTCATGAGCTTCAGTGAGATCACCTTGGAGTTTGCTATTGTACAGCTGCAAGCTCGAGTTATACTCTTGCAAGAGTTTGTACATGTCATTGACAGTTTGAATCTGAAACAAAACAAAAACCCGCAGAAACATTCAATGACATTCAAAGGTAACCAATTCCCTTTCAGATCTTTCTGACTTTCTCACCCTTTGGTTAGTTGTGCATACTATGCAGGTTCTAACAAATGATGGTAAAGGACAAAATTAATAAGAGAAGCCAATCTATTACCTGCAACGGATGATCATAGGAGCAATCAGAAACATTTAATTACTAAGTCCAATAGTGAGCCTCCCCAAAACACTAGATAAAACCTGAATCCCAAATGTTCATAAGAAGAACCAACTAACTCGTCGAAGTAACCAGAGTCCAGGTTAAATTTTGATTGATAGAAAGAATTTTAATTATATTCTAGAATCAGACTTAGACACATTCATAGATGAGATAGTGCTTTAGCTCAATCCAAGCAACAATTTTATTATTTAATTAGAGGAGTATGGACAATGATGTAATACTCATTCATACGACCAAAAACATGGGAATAGATTATAATACCAAAAGCTAAACTCAATCACGATCATCTTCTTTGTAAGAAGTCAAACACTAAAGCACAAAAAAACACTCGAACTCTCTTAACATCTTTAATTCCATATCCATAACATAGAATTGAAAACTAGCCTTAACGCAGACCCTAACGAAGAACCTGAATTGAAATCCAATCAAAAATCTAAATCAAACAGCAAAATTCACCATGATTGAATTCGAAATTCACGAACAACAATCAGATTTCCAACAATCATACCAGGAGCAGCGGCTGTGGAGATGAAAAATCCGGCGGAACCAACTCTCAGAAACCACAATTTGACACTTAATTTTACTCTCAATCAACGGAATCATCGGAGATATTTCATGTTCTATCACCATCGCCGCTAAATAGAGAGAGAGAGTCGGAAAAAAAAAATCGAAGAAGAGAGAATCTACACGCGTGTTTTTTTTTCTTTTGTTAAAACACTCCTCCAATCGAAAACTTACACGTGTCCGGCTCTCTCAAAATCTCAAAACTCTCTCAAGAGAATCGATTCTCTCATCTTTATTTAGTTTTGAATTATTTTTGTCCCAAAATCAGATGAGAACTCATCAAAATATAGAAGAGAACCTCCCATTGGAGGTGCTCTTATAACGTGAATGAAATAACGTGGTGGTTGAATTATTTTCTTCAACCCGTAATTATAAAATTGTTAATTAAATTACAAACATACAACAGTCCAACTAACTTATATTTGGATTTTAGCCTCAACCAAAACTTGTATTTGGAGTATAATTAATATCAAACAGATTAAATATTATTTTCGTATAGATCGAATTAAGGGTTGGTGGCATAAGAAAAGAAGCATGTTATGATTTCTATATGAAACTGACAACATGATTTGTAAATTGTTTTAAGAAAATGTTAATTGACACAAATTATTTCCTTCTTTTTTTATACAAATTTATTTACCTCAAGAGTATGAAGTTTCCTCTTCCACATTGTAGAACGTTCTTCCCAGCAAATTCCGGTGATGTAAAAAATCTTGACAAAAACTTCTCTATAAGATTACATAAAAGGGTCTTGAAGTTCTTCTTCTTCAACAAGAAGGATGTTGAAGTAATGAAGTTGAAGCTCTTCAGCTATCAATAGACAAAACAGAAAGAGCATAATGAATAAGAATTTAACTATTGTGCTACATATACTGATATACAATACATTACAAAATTTTAAACCAAAAAAAGAAATTTTCCACTGCCGGGCTTTGAACCCGGTAAGTTCGGCAATTAAGACGAATTTAGTCAGTGTGCTACAGCGGATCTTTTGTTAATCTATGAATAATTAATAATATATATAAGATCAAAACGGATGGTTACAAATTTTAAAACAAAAAGGAATTTCCGCTGCCGGGCTTTGAACCCGGTAAGTTCGGCAATTAAGACGAATTTAGCCAGTGTGCTACAGCGGATCTTTTGTTAATCTATGAATAATTAATAATATATATAAGATCAAAACGGATGGTTACAAATTTTAAAACAAAAAAGAATTTCCGCTGCCGGGCTTTGAACCCGGTAAGTTCGGCAATTAAGACGAATTTAGCCAGTGTGCTACAGCGGATCTTTTGTTAATCTATGAATAATTAATAATATATATAAGATCAAAACGGATGGTTACAAATTTTAAAACAAAAAAAAAATTTCCGCTGCCAGGCTTTGAACCCGGAAAGTTCGGCAAATAAGACGAATTTAGCCAGTGTGCTACAACGGATCTTTTGTTAATCTATGAATAATTAATAATATATATAAGATCAAAACGGATGGTTACAAATTTTAAAAAAGTTATCCGCTGTCGGACTTCGAATCCGAGAGATCGGCAATCAAGACTAGTTATACCAATACTACAGCGGATCTTTCGCTAAACTCAAACCTTGAAATACTTCTTGTGACCCATTCCATTCATGATCTTGAAATAAACGCTTAGATTACAAAAGTATAAAACCTCGTCTACTAATTTGCTCTCTTCTTCTTTTGCGGTAAATGGACAACTCAAGAACTCAGCAAGCTTCTTCAGCTGAGCAAAAGGCTCTTTGTAAATTGCTTTAACAAATTGTTAACTAATACAAATTCCTATACCGCAAGACTCAAGAGTACGAGGTTTCTGCTTCCACATTGCAGAATGTTTTTCACACCAAATTCCCTGTAATGGAAAAAGTCCAATCTTGACAAAAGTTTCTACAATATTACATAAAATGTTCTTAAAGTTCTTCTTCTTCATCAAGAAGGATGTTGAAGCTCTTCAGCTCTCCCAAGATCCTCTGTAATTCCTCTGTTCGAGGATGCTTCTCTCCCGAAGAATAAAACTTCACTAAACCATCATCGGTCTCGATCCAGCTAATCCCTGCTTCTTTCTTAAACCCGGTGTCTCTCATAGCAACTTTTAGCCTTGCAGCATCATCAAATCTTCCTGCATCTCCATAAATGTTTGAGAGCATCACGAAATTAGCCGGGTTTCTTGGTTCAAGCTTGATCAACTCTTTAAGAGCAAGTTCGCCAGTGTCCACCTTCTTATAAACCTTTGAAGCTCCAAGTAGAGTAGCCCATATAACAGCATCCGCTTTTACTGGCATTTTGTTTATGAACTCAACAGCTTGTGTTAAAAATCCAGCCCGTGATAGCAAATCCACTACACAACCGCAATGCTCGATCTGAGGCGTGATTGAGAAATCAGTAAACATGGAATTGAAATAAGCCAAGCCATCTTCAACCAAACCCATGTGTTTACAGGCACATAAAACACCGACGAATGTTACCTTGTCAGGACTAATTCCGGAATTTTTCATCTCATGGAATAAATCTAAGGCCTCAGTTCCATGTCCATGTGCAGCTAAGCCGTTGATCATGGTATTCCAACTTATCAAATCTCTTCTCTTTATTCCTTTGAAAACTTCCATAGCTATCTCTATAGCTCCGCATTTTCCATACATATCAATCAAAGCATTCTTAACGTTAACATCTACCTTATTATACCCAAGATTTTCTCCATACTTATGTACCCATTTCCCGAAATCAAAAGCTCCTAACTTTGCACAAGCGGATAAGACTAACGTCAATGTTGCATCGTTTGGAACAACACTCCCTTCATCTACCATTCTCTTAAAAGAACCCAACACTTCAGAAACCCGCCCATTTTGAGCATAGCCCTTGATCAAACCATTCCAAGAGAACACGTTTCTCTCTGGCATTTCATCAAAAACCCTTTCACATTCTTCCATATCTCCAATACTTGCATAACCCTCTAAAACCGTATTCCACGACATGACATCCCTACAAAGCATTTGATCAAAAAGACTCTTAGCCTCCATCATATTCCCCATATCAATATAACCAGATATCATAGTGTTCCACAACACAATATCTCTCTCAGGTGACAAATCAAAATAGCGTCGAGCAGAGGCTAAGTCTTTATTCAAAAGACACCCATTGATCATCGAAGTCCAAATAACTACATTTTTCTCAACCATCTCACAAAACACCTTATTCGCCGATACTATCACTCCTGCACATGAGTACATCTCAATCAACTTAGTTCCTAAATAACAATTTGACCTAAACCCTGTTTTTATCGAAAAGCCCTGTAACTCCTCTCCCTGTCTAAGATCCTTAACCATCACGCAAGCTTTTAAAACAACCGGAAGAGTAAAACAATTGGGCATCACATCGAAGCTTCTCATCCTCTTGAACAACAACAAAACTTCCATAGACAAATCTTTTTGCGCATACCCATTGAACATAACGTTCCACACAGAAACATTTGGTTGAGAGATTCTGTCGAACACTTGGCGTGCGTAATCAATTCTCGTGATTCGACAACAAGCAGCAACGATTCTCGGACCAACGTAATCATTCTGAGCTAACTCGTGGGTTACGGTTTGTGATTGAACTTGAAGAAGCTGATTCTGGGTTTTACATGATTCCAAGAAAGAGATAAGCTTTTCTTCCAAAAGCCTCTTTGGTGATTTAGAAGCTGAAACTACAGAAACTCTCGCAATTTTCGATATTTCAGGAACAAACGTAAAAGACTCGTCGCGAGAAAACAATAAAGTACTATAAGTCTTTCCTTAGAGAATTCGATGAAAGCTCCCAACGAGACTGTTTCGATTTAGCGCCTTTTAGTTCACAATCAGATTCCGAAAGTGGAGGGACTTGAAGTCAAAGTCAATACCTTCTCAACGACTTAGAAGGTTAGGTTAATATTGTGTAGAATAATATGATTAGTTTTGTTATTTCAGAGTTTAGCTAATACTTTTGAATTTGTGTACCGAAACTACTCAGCCTATAAAATATAGGGAACTATGAAATTACATTACTTAAAAAACATACCTAAAATAAACAACCATGTATTATATCTATAAGAAGTAAAGTAATTAAAAGTATGCTTATAGGAGTGTGTAATAGAGATGGGCGGTGTCATTGTATAGGAACAGCAGATGCAGCCTATTCTAATAATATAGCAATCGGTAATTGAACCCTAACTTCTTTTTTATTTGCATAAATAGAAAAAGTTTTGCTTTCCTTTTGAAACACATCTAATTTTCTTAGCCCCTACTTACCCGTTTCCCTCTTATTTAAACAAGTCTCATGTTTTCTTTTTTTTTTTTTACTTTTTTCATGAGATTCAGAGATATTACTTGAATTGGTATCCTCTATAATCTAGATAGACGCACACCTATCATGTGATGTTATGTCACTACTTCAATATGTTTTTATTTTTTATGTATGTGCTTATATAGTATGCATTTAATTTTCAATGTGTTTTTGTTTTTTTTGGGTAGATGTGAATGATTAATGATCACTAGTTCACTACATGTGTTTATTAGATTCATATTAGGATCATATTGCACACATTTACATGCATGTTAATTTTTCTCAAAAAAGGAACAAAGAGAGTTATTTTACCCTATAGTACTTGTTCACAATATATGCATATTACATATATTCAGAAATAAAAGGAGTGGGTACATAGGTATATAGGAGTAGCTAGGGTAGAGTTGAAATTGAGGAGCAAAACTATGAAATGGTAAAAGCTGATTTAAGGGAATAGGGTTTGTAAGCTGATTCAATGAGTCCTTCCACAGTTGTGTCTATGACTCAGACCAACTTATCTTTTTTATAAGTTTAACTTATTCTCTCATACACATATCTATATTGATCCACTCAATCTCTCTCCCTTCGCTTTCTGATTATTTATTTATTTTTAAATATACATATGTGATATGCCTCTTGGGAAGACTGTAAATACAATCTAGGGTTTAGCCTTCTTTCACAAAACCATGATATGTTTCTTCTTTTCATGTATAGCTCTTTTTTTCTCCTTTTATCACAAACATGCTTGAGCTTTGATATCATATGTTCTCTCTCTCTATCTCTTATTGATCACTACTTTTGAATGATTTACATGATACGAAATGAGTTTTTTAGTTTAGGTGTTGGATTTCCTTAGATTTGCAATGTAATTTGAATGTTTTTTTTTTCTTGTTTACACGAACTATAGTCCCTAGAGTAACCAAATAAAAACTGATATAATTCATATTCTTTTTTCACAAGACCCCTACGTATAATCTAAATATGAATTGGCTAACATAAAGATAATCCAAATATAAAGGCGATAGAAAAAAACTTGTTTCAAAAAATATAAAAGATTAATCTCCACAGCCAATAGTGGACGAGTTAGTTAGAATTGAACTAGTTAAAGTCCAGATCTTACTTGATCTTTCCTCTCTCTAGTCACTCCAGTTCTATTTTTTTCTCCAGAAAAAACATATATATATAGAACGATAAAATACCCTAGGTGGTCTCACAGAGCAGCTCCAAGACAAAAAGTAGATGATAAGAAAAAAAACAAAATAAAAATAGATAAAAGCTGCTCCTTCATACATATACAATCTTCTTACATAGCCCCAAACAACACACTCCCTCTCCAATTTGCATTTCACTTTTTGTCGTTTTCAATTACTTTGTCATGTCTCTTTCAATATTCCCACAAAACTATCGATAAAATTTAGACACTTGATGGATATATTAAAGTCTAACATTTAATAAAAATCCAAATTTGAAAACAAAAATCCAAAAAAGAAAATACATTTTTAAATTTTTATTGTTATTATAGCCCATGATGTGGAGGTAGAGGTAGAGTAGCAACTCTAGAACCATTAGCCACTGGTGCTCCAATGAAGGTGTAACTCGAGTCAGGTAGTGCACGACCACCGCAAACGCTATTGGTTAGGGTTTGGTGACGCGTACCGTTGTTGCCTAGATAGTAATCGTTGGTGTGATGGTGAGGAAACGGTGGTGACGGAGGAGGATAAAGAAATGGTGGCTGCAACTGGAGGGCGGAGGAAGAGAAAAGTCTTGGTGGATACATCATTGGTTTGAATGATGTTAGGTCTCCTATATGCACATCTCCTTGATGATAACTATATAGAATTATATCAAATTGTTAATTACAATGATATTTATAGTAAGATCAAATGTAAAATGAGTTAAACCTTGTTTAAGAAAATAGAAAGTAAAATACCTAAACGGTGGAAGTCCTTGGTGAGGAGGAATGATATCGTTGCGAAGAACAAGTTCACGAGCTTTGTTTAGTGACTCCGTCTCTCTTTCTAGTTCACCAAACCCCAAATCAATAAACTACAACATTTATGTGTATATACATAATATCGAGAATAGTGGGATCTTGCCTTGACGGTGGCGGTTCATGTGGCCACCGAGAGCTTGAGATTTGAAGAACTTTAGTGAACAAAATCTGCATTCATACTCTTTCCCGTCTTTGGTTTGCTTCTCTCCAAAGCCTCCTACTCAGTAATAAAGATTAATAGCTTACTTAGATTTATCTAAATTAATACTTAAATGTACGTTTAATGATTAGATCAAAACATTTTTGGTTTCGAAACCTTAATTTACTATAATGGAGTTGACTCTAGTATCATATTTATTACAAAACAATCACCTAAAGCAGAAGGTGGGGATATTAATTTAATTATTTACAAAAATTTATTCAAATAAATAAAAGAAAAAGGGAGAGTAGAATAAACTAGAGTAGTGTGTACCAGAAGAGGAAGAGGAAGAGGAGCCTTCTTGAAAGAATGGGAAAATGTCTCTAGAAGGATCACCAGGTAAGTTATTAAGATCTAAAGTGTTATTATCATCAGCTCTCCTGCAAATTTTTTACATTTTTAAATTTTAGAATAAAATTTAGTTAGAGAGATAATAGAGAGAAGATGAGAGAGAGAACATACATGGTTACCAAGAAGACAGGAGAGAAGAAACTTGTAAGGATAAAGACTTGAGGGAGTGAAGATAGAGATAAAGAGAGCTTTGTGAAATTTCTTTTAATCAGTTTCTCTTTCTCTTTTTTTCTCTCTTTAGAAATGAGAACATTGAGCATGGAACTCAAAGTGGAGGGCGTTGTGACTTTTATACAAGAAGCTTGTGGGGACTTTATGTGTCAAGGTATCCCTAATTACTATATATAATTTGTATCCCTAATGGTCATATTCATATATACATATAACAAGTCCAATATCAGAAAATTTATTGTTAATAATTTTGTGTGATATTATATCCAATTGATTTTTTATTTTTACTTTACTTGGAAATAAACTCAAACTTAAACATAAATAAAAATAATCTCCATTTCTTAAAACATTAACAATTTCTGTTTTTTCCTGAGCGATAGTACTTGGACCAAATGTTTAGTTTGCTATAGCTTCTGACTAATTAGAAACATAACGAATCTTGTCATAATGATTTTCTTGCAAATTTATTCACAAACAAAATATAAGACTAACCATAGGATTACAAATGAATAAGGGGGTGTTATTCGTTAGTGGATATTAATAGAGTTTAACTCTAACTCAAATCTAATGTTATTGGTTCTCAGATTGAAAATACAGATTTCAAATCAAGTGTTATTGGTTCTCAGATTTCTAATGTCTATATTAAAAGAGTTTAAAATCAAGTGTTATTGGTTCTCATATTTCTAATATCTATATTAAAAGAGTTTGAAATCTAGTGTTATTGGTTATCATATTTACAATGATCAATTAAAGTTTCATGTTATTGGTTGTTTGACCGATTTCACAAATGTTTTGATTTGAAAAGATATGAAGGAATCTGAAACTGATTTCATGTGTAAATTATAGCAATCAAAATCTTACCTTCTACTCAAGATTTTCACTATCATATTTTTATAATTATAAAATCTCATTTATGAGAATAACCAAAAAATTTTTTTTTTCCTTTCACGTCTTCTCTCCTTCTTCTCGACAAAGTGTTCCCTAAGGTACTCTTTCAATAGTTTTTATGTGTTTTTTATAGTTTTTATTTTTTATTTTTTAAGGTTGTTTTTACGTTGCATTTTTTGAAGTTTATTTTTATTTTATTTATTTTTAAAGTTTTAATTTGAAATCACCAAAGTTTTATGAATAAATTCTTTAGCATATTTTTTTTGTTAAAACTTCAAAACATTAGAAAAACTTGAAATAAGAAAAGAAAAAAATGGTCAAAAGTTTTGTTGGACTTCGGTTAGATTATAAAACTAAAATATGTATTGCATCATGAAATTGATATTTTCAAAACCTATCTTTTCTCTAGTCACTGTCGAATTCACATATAATAACTGTAGAGTCAGTACGAGTTTCAATCAAAATCTCACAGTTCCAAAAAAAAAAAAAAAAATCAATTTGAACGTCCTTTAAATTTTGTCGAATCTTTTCCGATTAAATTTGTTGTTTTGTCTTTCTTTTATATATCGTGCTACTACTCAATCAAATAAAGGAAAACAGTTATTTTATCCAAGTAATTTGGAAATTTGAAATATATACTAAATTAAATGATCTTTTTAATGAAATAAACATGAGTTGAGATTATGCGAACTTGGAGCATGTACATCTATTATCTATAAGATCAGACCACCTATTTTTTTTTGGAAATTAAGAAAGAGGCAGCCTCTAAATTAGTAAATTCACATTCATACTAAATAAAGAAATATATGTATAAATTAATACTCACTCCTTTAAAAGCAGAAAAGAACTTACAAATAAATGTAAGAGAAGCCCTAAAATTTAGAGATGAGGCTGAGGCAGTAGTCATTACTCATTATGATCTCTGAGCTAAAGGTTGTTGTTAAATTGGTCCCCTCAGAAATATTAAAGCTTCAGTAATCACCAAACTTAACCTAAGTAGATTTGTTTCCATTCTTTTTTGAAAAATACGATGTTTTGCAAAGCCCATAGGCCCAATGGCTAACTAGTCCAATAGTTAATATCTAGTAGAACCAGAATTGAACAAGAGGAGCTGAACCAAGACTAAAGATCAAATTGGTCAAACAAACGAAAGCCAAACATCTTACTCTTATAAAAGTCGATTTGAACAACTTAATAACACCACAATGCTGCAGCAGAAGGCTCAACAAAACAAAAGCACACAGAGGGAATTGGGAACCATCAATAACACTTATCAAAACTAAACAAAAATTTACATACTAGATAAAAATCAGAAGTGCGAGCTGAAACAGGGCATGATAAAAAGCTTGAAAGGCAAAGACTTTCATCAACCAGTTCAAACGAACTACTTACAAGCTTGACATTGACATGAATCGTTGATTTCGGTCAAAATAAAGTTTAAGTAGAAAGTAGTTTCCTCCAAATTATTCTTAAACCCGGGTAATTATACGGTTTCTCAATATTTTGGACTTTAGTTTTCTTTAACACCTATATATAGCGTTATAATCTAAACATTAAACTGCCATTAATTATTGTTACTATTTTAATGTGCTACCATTCAACTATTTAAGGAATCTCATCCATAGACAATTATTACCGTTTTTAACTTTCAATTTAACTATAAATAAAATCTTTGAAACACAAAAAATTAAAAATAAGATATACGTTTAATTTGTTTCTCAATATGGCCACGATGCTAAAAAAACAAATAAATTTTGTTTCATTGTTTTTATTAGTGCTCTTTGCATTCCTAAAATCAAATGCAATGCCAATCAAAGACGTATACAGTCTTTGCAAGGAATCGTCTGAAGTAGATTTCTGCCTGAAATACATTGGGTCGGACAAACGTATAGTAGCCGCACGCGACTTCTATGACGTATTTTTAATCGCGGTATGTTAGATAGTTACTAATATAACAATTTTCATTAATTTTTTTCTTTCTTAGTTATGCAGAAATTCTTGTGGTAGAAACTAGGATTAAAAAAGATTTTCATAATATTAATGATTTAGTTTAGATTTAATTAAGAAAACTGAATAATTGTAACCACAAATCAAAGTAATTGTTAAAAACTAACATCCGTTAAAGTTACAGAAGGGAACAAATCACAAATATTAGATTTGAAGACGCAAATATTTCCTCTACTTTGGTCCATGCATATTTAACATATACTATATAGATAAATAGATATAAATTAACTATATTTTAAAAAATAATTTTCATTAAATTAATTACAGGACTATTAAAACTTTATAAATCAAGAAAATACTCTATACACAATAACTTTTGATATAAATCTGAGTTTTGTTTTAATTTCATGTTAGTAATTGCTATTTTAATCTTTCTATTTTCTTGAAGAAAAATGGATATATATATATATATAGTTTAAAAAGCAAAATATTTTATTCAATGTGTGACTATAGCTTGGTCACATATATTAACAAAAGAAGAAGCAAAATATTTGGTTCATTGTAAATAAACTTAGGGATAATAGCGGATTAAACTTAGAGATATTGATAATGGATTGGGTTAATAGTAGAAAATTGTAACCTCAACATTTCTTGTATTATTAAATGGCATCCAAAATACTAGCTAGAATATTTTTTTAAAAAATGTAGTTATTAATACTCAACAAAAACCAAATACATTTTATTTATTTATTTATGATTGAAACCTTCTTGTCAGATATCTATGACCCAAAGTTTTGTGGACACTGGAAACTTGGCTATCAACGGTGAAGATACCCGTAAAATTTATAATGGACCATTTGAGAAGAATTTGGTCGTTGTATGTCAGAAAAAATACAAGATCGCGGTCAATAGTTTTCAGAAGGCTCGAGTAGTTGGAGAGAAAAAGTCAAAGTCATTAGCGGACCGTACCGAAATGTCCCAACGCACGGAAGCTGGCTTTGAGGCTGTGCTTGATTGCGAAGACGCATGGACATATGATCAGGAACGTCCACGAGTGTCTCCTGTTGTTTACTATTACCATAAAGTTCGAAAACTAATTAAAATTACTCGTGTTATTATCAAAAGGCTTAACACCTAGCTAGTTGTATTGTCACTTGGTATATTACTTGTTTAAGTTAAATGAATAAGACTTTTTTTTGAAGTTTTTGATAATTCTCATCATAAATGCATGCAAAACATGACGTTTTAAACTTTCGACGCAATTATGGGATACATGACCTGAATGAGATTTGCAAGTCGGGAGATCTAAAGAGACTAAACTTGTATATTTGAACTAGGTGGAAATATATATGACAATTGACAACTTATTTCTATAAATTGTATATTGCACAATGCCATCCATTTTATAAATCTAATTAATATTGTCAATGTTATTTCCATAAATTTTTTATTACCCACCGCCGTCATTTCTATAAATTCCAAAATTTTTGTCATTACTATTTCCATAATTTTATCATTTCACACCGCCGTTATATACACCACCGTCATATCTATATTCCTAACGAATATTGTCATTGTTAGTTCCGTAAATAAATTTACTACTGATCGCCGTTATTTTTATAAACTTAAAAAATTTGGTTACTTCCGTAATTTTATCATTTTGCACCGCCGTTTTTGTATAAACCTAATAACTATTGTCATTGTTGTTTTCCTAAGTTTTGTATTATGCATCGCCGTCATTTCTATATTATTCTTAACAAATATTTTATTATTTTTTTATATTGCACCGCCGTCATTTTTATGATATTTTTTAAAAAGTTATTGAAAATAAAGAAAAAAAATTTATATGGTTAAAAAAAATTCTAATTTATATTTCACTCAAAATGTCTTATTTCAGTAAATGTAACATCTAATTTTCTTCAGTTTAGTTCTGATATTGTTTATAAGCACAATAGAACTACAGTTTGATTAAAATATTGAAAAGCGAGAGATTGTTTCCTTAACATCTTGATATTTATTTATGACGTAACAAAGTAACAGTTTATAAAGCTTTTCTTAAAAAAAATATATATATTCATAGATATGCCATAAATTTTCAATAGACAAATGTCAACATGCAGTAAACTGAAAAGAAGAATCCATCTTTCTGTAGTTCATTAATTAGTTATGTACATAAAGTATCAATTCTATTAGCAAATCTAAATTTTCAATTCTCCAAATGGTGATTAGTGATTAGTGTGATAAAGTAAAAAAGAGAGATTTCAATGTAAATTAAAATATTGATATATATCGTCGGTGACATTAATAACCACTGAAAGATATTTACGAGGACAGAGTCTGGTTAGGCACCGCCTTCCTTTGTACCAAAAAAAGGCAAAAATCTAAACATTGAAACTTAAAGCTAAAACTAAATCCAATTTATGAAACATTTGTAATAATTAAATTAAATTTTTAAGAATAGAATTAAATAATTTTAGCTAAAACAAGCGTTTTGCTCTAACACAAACAATTATGCCTTAATAGAAATTCAGAAAAATAAATAAATAAATACTGATTCCATAGCATTTGTTGTCTGCAGGTTCTCTCTTTCCCATAACCTAAAAGCCCATTAGAAGTCTCTTCTTCTCTCTTTCAGATCTCTCTCTTCTTCTTCTTCTTCTGCTCAAGCTAAGAACCATCTCTGCCTCTTCTTCCACCTTCAGGTATCTCTCGATTTCTTCTGAATTTCGGAATCTGGTTCTCAACTATCTCTCAAGATCCTTCTTGATTTGTTCATCGTTGTGTTTTACGTTTTTGATTATCGTATAATTTGGATCTTGAAACAATTCTTGTTCCAATTCTTGAATTCTTTATGTGTTTAACCTCAAAAGCATCAATTTTCATTTATGTTAATTCTTGATCATCTTTATCACTGTTTAACCTAGACTTTTTCTCTTCTTTTTCTTTTTTAGAGTTTAATTATTCTTCAAAAAGAAGAAAAAATCTGTCTCTCTCCACTATGATCTTGACATCATTCACTATAATGGAAAACATTACCGTATTTATTAAAATAAAATAAATTTATTGAATTTTTGTCAAGTGGCTAATTCCTTACCATTCTTAATTTAAATCAACCTTAATAAAATTAATTAAATAATTCTCTTATGACCAGATCTCCATAAGAAACACGTTACCATTTGACCACCTCTTCTCTCTTCCCTTATCTTTTTTATATTTATATAACAATTTTATTCTTCTTCAATATCTTAATTCACTATTTTGTGTTTTGATTGATTCTTTGAAGCAGCAACCAAAGATGATGAACAGCTGTGGAATCCAACAAAACGCTTTTGAAGAGATGAAGAGAAACGCCGCCGTTTCTGATCGGAGAGACGCCGTGATTTGTCCTAAACCTCGTCGTGTTGGTGCTCTTAATCACCACTCTTCTCGATCTCTCCGTTGGCAACTCAAGTAAGACACTTTTCTTAATAAAGTTCGTAACTTTGTTGAGACAAATACTTAAAGCAATCAAATTTATTGGTTTTTTGGTTTTGTAGTCATCAGATGGAATCATGTGAATCGAATTCAAGAAGTGAGATTTTGGATTTCATCCTCACAAAGGTATATATATGATTCAATACAATCGTTTTGCTTTTGTAGATGATTATTTGATTGAATTGATATCTAAAGTTTGGTTTTTTATTGCTATGTGATGATATTTTCAGGGTGGTGGTGGTGGTGAACAAGATGAGACGAGGAGGGTGATGACGCCGCCTCTGTTCTTCACAGGGTCACCACCAAGTAGAGTTTCTAACCCATTAACAAAAGATTCACTTTTTCGAGAAGAGCTTCTCGTGGTGGCTTCTCCGACTCCATCGACTCCACGAGCAACCAAACCGCAGCCACCGTCTTCTCCAAGGAACGGCAGTTGTGTTATGGCGGCGACGAGTTTCGGGAACAATCCCGTGGTTCGTGTTGTGGGATTCGATTGTGACAGACGTAGCAGCAGCAACAGGAGCATTTCGACTCTTGCATAAAGAGTAGTCCAATATGCATATATATATAACAGAGAGGGAATTATAAAGAACAACTAAGAAAGGTTTAGGAATTGATTATGGATTATGTGGGAGGGTTTTGTTGGTTAAAATGTGTAAATATGTTGGAAAAAAAGTGGGGGATTTTAAAAGGGGTTGTTATAAATTTAGGGTTTTGGGTGTTCATTTTCTAAAATTTTGTAATTAAAAGGGGGGAGAGAAGAGAGTGGTTAATTTGGTGTCTTTAGTGAAAATAAGAGCATAGTGTAATATCTTCCTTATTGTAACAAAAGGAAAGGCTCGAAAGAGTTTTGAAATGTGAAGATATCATTTCTACCCTTTTTTTTTCTGTATTGTCTCTTTTGTACAGATGTAAATTTCAAAGGAGTTGATCATTTTTGGAGTCTTACTAGTTCTTGTTTTGTGACAAACATTATTGATGAATTGCGTACTATCACTATTTTTGTGATGTATTGTGTACTTTCATATTTCAAGATCATTTTGTTTCAGTATACTTGATACTGTGAAATCTTGTTATACTTGTGGCAATGTTTCTCAAGGTAGCTAACGGTTTAGCATCGGTTAGGTTTTTCACGAGTTCGTGTGGTTTATTTTTAGAGTGAAACTCATTATCTTTAGGGTCTTTAGACATTTTTTTTTTATATCTTTTCTGTAGTTGTAGTATTTTACAATTTGATCTTTGTCCGGGTGTTCTGCTTCGCTAGAAACATATCAACTCGTGTATCTTTTACGCCCATGTAAGTTTAATAGTTATGTTTGGTGCTTCTTGTAGGAGAGTCTCTTGCCTACAACTAAATGAATAGAGTTTTGAGATAAGAAAAAAACTATACATGGATACCGTGGTTTTACTATTTTTACCATTTACGATGTTACTTAAATTTAAAGAACTGTTTAATAAAGTAAAAAGTTAATAAAATACATACGATAATTAAATGATTCGGCTAAATTTTAAAGATTATATTTCATCCAAACGATTTGTATTTGTAATACATTTAAATATTGCAGATAATTTAACAAAATACAAGTTATCAACATTTATATTGGTGATATTTCAATAATTGTTTTACGTGATTAATGCGTCTATAGTTTTATCTATGGAAGTATAATATGTAAACAGAGTAGTCATACTTTTTCAAGAGTTTAAAGATTTGCATTAATTATTGTGGATAATTTAGCTGAATACTACAGATTATCAAACATTATCGGGGGGATAATTTATGCGTACGTGAATGATTATTCAAAAATAAAGTTACAAAGATACTTATTCGAAAAAGGAAATAATAACTTTAAATTTCATGATTTCACTCCATGTGATTTCCTTCTTTTTGAAACTTTGTTTTTTTTTTTTTTCCTCTAGATTTATTATTTATTGCAAATTAAGAGAACTGTTACATAGACGATTCTACAACGGACAATTCCTTCCGACCCTTATTAGATCCACGATAGACGACACTTCCTTCTTCATATTCTTGACGGACACCTTCAATGATCCACGATCTGACGATACTTCTCTCTCTGCGTAGAATCTTGGCGAACGGCTATAATTGTACATCGCTGGAGACCTCATGCACACTTGCCTCCATTAATCTGCAAATTCATTAATAAATCGCAATATCTGGGACTCGAACCCCAGACATCTTGGTGTAGAAACATTAATTAACCCTTAGTCAACCAATGGGCCAAGGGGGCTTCCACAAAACCTTGTTTTTATTTATTTTTGCCAAGGTTCCAAAAGTCATAGGCTCTTCATTGTAAAAGTCAAACATTTTCATTATCTAATGATATTAACAGTTTAGCAAAAAAAAAAAATTTCGTCTAACTATATATTATCGATGTTATTTAAAATGTAGAATTTTGTTTGTTTTAATGTAGAATATTAGTTTACTTTGTTCAACATAATTTGCATATCTTTTGCAAGTATTTGGGAAGTTATGAAGTTGGAAAATTTAGTTTCGTGATCATAGAGTTTGCTTCAAATAGATGGCGATTTTTTTGGGGGCAAATAGATTGCGATAATAAATCAAGAAACTATATATCTCTTTTGGTCATATAATTTGCTTCAAACAGATTGCGATTATATTAAAAGAAACAAAACAAATGTACATAAACCAATAAAGTAAGCGTTAATTAGAAGAGAAATGTACATACATGGGCAATGGTTAGGGTACGGAACGGACCAGCCAAGTGACATGAGGACAACTCATTATTTCTTTGTCTCCCGATCTATATTTAATTTCGATTCTTTTTGCTTACAGCTTGTAAATTATCAAATTATATAAATAAATAAATAAATTTTGTTTCGCTTTTAATGTGTCAATCAAACCAAAAGATTCGTCAAACTTTGTGGCCGGAAATCTCGCAGTGCTTTATTCTAAAATTCATTGACAACAATTAACAGATAAATCTCATTCGATAAAACATGACCTGTAACTTTCACCTGGAGTAAGACAAAAGATGTACTATGCTGAGATTTTTTGTATCAATCACAATTTTTGCATTTGTATGAAACATGTCTTATTATTCTTAAATTGACTCTCGTATAAGTCAAACCTATTAGGCTTACCCTTAAGGCCTTAACTTAAAAGGAAAATATTTGAGCTTTTTGAGCCCATTAAGCCCATCTCTTTATAAAATTACCTTTTACACTCTTACCCTTTTAGCTTTTTCGAAAAAGGAAACTACAAAATTCAAAAAGCTTTCCCACGCGCCTCACACTCCGCGTGAAACTTTTGTTCAAATCAGTGTCCTAACAAGAGAAACACGCGCTTAATCACGCGTGTTGTTTATTTCAACGACACTCACTGCTCGTGTTTTTCACTTTAACTCGTTTCCAGCTCTCTCACTCCTCACCACTTCGTCGTCTCTGCAAAAGTCTCTTTCGCCGGAGATAATGGGAGAAGGGAAGGCCTCGACTCTGGTATTTATCCTCGTCGTCGCTCTTAGTTTAGTTGCATTCGGGTTCTCTATCGCCGCCGAGCGCCGCCGTAGCATCGTAAATTCACTCTCCTCTCTCTGTTCCACTTTGTTTCTCTCTTCTAGGGTTTTTGTTCTCTTATGAACTTTGATCTTGAATTCTAAAGCTTTCTTAGGTTATAATAGTCAATAGGATGATGCTACTGAATATTTCTATTTCTGGATTTGTTTCGTAGATTTAGTAATGGTGCCTCTAATTTAAGTTCTTGACTGAATCAATTCAGAATCAAGAATTTATCTTTTCTAATTTACTTGAAATTTAGGGAAATCTTGACACTATGAAAGAGCCATTTAAGACCATGTGTTTATGTTTTTGTAGACTGACACTAGAGAAACATCTATTTAACTAAGCATAAAGATTGAGTTATAATCTGTTGTGACACTTCTTTAAGGTCTTTCTTTCAGGGGAAATCTATACAAGACCCAATAACAAACACAACGTTCTGCGTTTACGACTCTGATGTAGCCACTGGTTATGGAGTTGGAGCTTTCCTTTTCCTTCTCTCAAGTGAATCATTGCTTATGGGTGTTACCAAATGCATGTGTTTTGGAAGACCTTTAGCTCCTGGAAGTGACCGTGCTTGGTCTATTATCTATTTCATCTCTTCTTGGTGAGTCACATTAGCTTAAACATCTCTAAAACAATGTATATATCTTCGAGTTTAGCTTCCTCTTGAGAGTGATATATTGAAAGAGCTTTAGGGTTATTTCTGATTTTGAAGCTTTGACATATCAATGGATCACAAGTTGTCTCTAAACACAATATGTGAATGTCCAAATTTGACAATTTTCAGGATGACATTTCTGGTAGCAGAAGCTTGTGTAATAGCAGGAGCCACGAAGAACGCATACCACACAAAGTACTTGAGCTCGCAAACCTTTTCGTGTGCATCATTGCGGAAAGGAATTTTCATTGCAGGAGCAGTGTTTATTGTTGCTACTATGGTCCTTAATGTCTACTACTACATGTATTTTACCAAGTCTGTCTCTTCGCCGCCTGCTCACAAAGCAAACCGCTCTGGTTCCAATATCGGTATGGCTGGTTATGCATAAACGTTATAAAAAGGAAATGGTTAGTCATTTGCATTGTAGATGTAAGAAAGAAAAGAGATTGTTGCATTGTTACAACACTTGGTTACTCTTATATCATTTGCTTATATATCTCTACTTATTTATGAAATAGTTCGTTATTTTTCCTCAATTCAATAGGCAATTTTCATTCATAACTAATGCATGTTTATATTCACTAGATTTGTAATCATAATCATTATTATTTAACTATGTATATTTTAAAAGATATGTAAATTTTGACTATCAATTGTCTCAACACCGAACTGTAACGTACACGAGAGTCTAAAGGACTTCATAAAACGTATTGGGCTTTATAAAGGCTTTTCAAAGTTAGGCCTACGTAAGCGGCATAGCAGTTTTTGGTGAATCTTGGTATAGTTTCAAACCGTTAGATAGTATATTTTTTTTGTAGAAAGTAAGAAACTATTTCTAACATAAAAAAAAAAAAATTGATCCGTGAAAGATCACCAATATACCTTTCATAATCATTGTCTTGAGCTATGAAAACAATTTTATTGCAACTTTGAAACTTTCACCATTAAAACTTAAAACTAGGATTTGTAGTTTAGTGATTTGCACAACTATCATTATTCAATTATGTCATTGCAGTTTGCGAATGGGTGTGGCTTGTATTTTTTTTTTCTTTCACAACTGATTTTTCAAAACCATTACTAAAAGTTCAGAAGCTAGAAAATAAAAAGGAAGGCAAATGGGACAAACAAAAACCCAAGTGGCAGGGGAAGAAATTGCTCAATTGACGTGGCTTTTATAATTCCCATACAAAATTGTTATCGATCTTTTTTTTTTCTCGGAGTACCAATTTGAATTTTATCCTCTAAACTAAGATCATTTACTTTTTTTTTGTCTACATTTATAGGTCTCTCAAGGTGTCTTTATCGTTTTTTGTCAAAAAAAAAGGTGTCTTATTGTGAGGAAAATAGAATAATGGGTGATTTAGGTGAATAACCAAAAAAAAAAAAAAATTAGTTTTTTAGAAAGAAGGTAGAGAGAGATAGGAAGAGAAAGAGAGTGAATAGGGGGGTTAGAGGTTAGTTATTGAATTAAAGTTTTTTTGTTGGTTAGTTTTGCCAATTTCCCTAATAAGTTATATTTTTTTTTTTGGACAAAAGTTAAGTTATCTTTAATCTGAAATAGAGTTTTTTTCTGACCTATTTTTAGTTATATCCTATTGTTATAACATATTAAAATTTTACAATAACTAATTAAAATGCTAAGAAAATATTTCCAGTATCAGCACAATTTTTTATGACGATTTACGTGCCGTTTTGGTTAAAGACCTGCACAATCAAAAAATTTAAGAGCTGATTAGAGAATAAGTAGACAGGTTTAGTTGTGAAAGCAACCTAAGCCTTACGAAAACGTCGTGAAATCGAAAAAAATTAACGTCGGTCTTGTTGGATTAGGTGTTAGGTCATGACATTTCTTATATCATTTGAATAAATTGTTTCTATATATCCATAAATATACCCACTCAAACATTAGATTTACGTTTTAACAAGATATGCTTGCTTGGGAATTTCTTTATATTCAAATATATGTATAAAAGATATTCGTAGAGATAAATAAAAAGGACTAAAAATGACTATATTTTTAGAAATTCGATGGAGAAAGAAAGGGGCCAAATGGGACCTTCTCTGTAATTTGTTCTCTACTTTTCCAAATTGGATACAACTTCTTCCTTTTTTCCGTGAAAGCTAAAGTGTCGATAGAGCCTTAAGTCAATATCGTATATGAATTTTCTCATAACATAATGAAGAATCTAGGACTATATATTATTTGAATTTTCTATCTTAAACAATTGTCCAAGCCTAATCATGCAATCACTTTTCTATTAACGAGTCAGATGTAAGTACGTAACATAATCGATTATACTAATATAATAATATAATGTATGTTGTATATATAGTAGGTAAAAATGGCCATGAATCAAATAACTTGAATTGCTAAAACATTTAAAAGCTGACATATTACATAGCCAAACTATAAAAGCCAAAAACTTAAATACTCTTTAGTTATAAAGTTACGTTAGTCATTTTCTAGCCAAACTTACGTTTTTTCAATATGTGTTCGATATTCTGAAATTATAAATAACACATCAAAAATATTGAGCATTTTCAAAATTGTTCGTAAATTAATAACTATTATTTTTGTTCACTAATTTAGTCGCCAATTTTTTTTTGTTTTTTCGCTCAACATAATTTTCGGTTATTCCATTTGTCAAATAATTTAAGAACACACCAAAACTATCATTAATGGTCAGCTAAAATCCACCAAAAACATACCTTTCCATTAATTAGTTTGAATTTTCTGGTCAAATTTTAAAACAACCATTTCCATTTCTGGTCAGACGTTACAAATTGTAATCGACATATGACAAACAACTATTTTTATTATTATTTACCGTTTTAGTATTAATTTATTATTTTTTGTGAGACCTCAAACAATTAATCATATCCATTTATATAGTAAGTGGATCGAACGGCGATGGTGACGGTGACGTGGATTGGTCGGGAAAAATTGGCGGTCAGATTGCTGTGTAATACACGTGGCATGTTCTATGTACACGTCGTCTGCTTTACGCTGTCGGCTTGAAATTTACTACACATTTTTATTTTTTCTCATCGTTGTATATTTTTTTTTGTCAATAACTTTGTATCATTTAGATGACTTAAATCAGCCATTAAGAAAAAAACATTGTTTACAGTTTTTGAAATTTATACACAGCCATCTGAAAATATCAAGAAAAGGAATTGAGAGTTAAGAAATTTCAAATGAAATACAGTTTTTGGTTTATAAATAGTATCTTTGCCAAAAAAAAAAAAAAAAAGGGTTTATAAATAGTATTTGCTTAAAGTGGCTAAATTTGCTAAAACATGATCGGATAGGGACAAATAGCAAAATTATTTAGTTTTTTTTTTGTTAAAAGAGAAACAAAAATGTTTTTTTTCCGAGTTTAAGGAAAAAAAAAAAAAGTGAGAAAGGCTAAGACATTATTTTATAATTTCTGCGGCGCCTCAAACTTAAACTAGACAAGTCTATGTATTTTCGTTGAACAAAAAAATGACTGAAATAAACTATTACTAACTTTGATTGAGTAATTTCCGGAATCAACAAAAGCCATCACCAATTCATCATGATAAATTGGTAAAAAAATACAGCACAAAAAAAAAAAAAAAAATTGAAGACGAAACAACAAAACTAAAGGATGTTGAAAAAGAAAAATCGGCCAGATAAATATTGGAGGCTCTATATACGATAGTAGTATTATGTACTTCCTTAATTCATTTTAAATTTCGTTTTGATATCTTTTACATAAATGAAGAAACAAAATATGTGCTTCTACAACAAAAATAACTTTCACAAAAAGTTATTCGTTTTTGTAACACAATTTAGTAAAATTCTTGTCAGCATATACAACGAAAATACCAAGAATTTTCGCAGATCACTAATTTTAAAACATGATTTAATTGTTTTCCACGCTACCAATATATTAATCAAAGTTCAAGTGATTGTAATAAATAAAACTGTAATAGAGTAAGGTCGAGAAGCAGAGGATGATTGCTCGTAGACAATTATCGTGGCGCTGACTGAAGACGACACAACATGAAAGTGACGCGCACATTAACCGTCCTTCTAAATTCTCTATTACAAAATTATATTTTCAACATGGCATATTGAATTATTATTCTACTCAAAAACAATTGTGATTCTGATTTATGATGACACGATTTGCATAAATTAGGGCTCAACAAAATATTTATCATATCAGAGCTTCAATTTTTTTAAATCGGTTTTCATGTTTCGAACAATCTGAAATCTGAATTTATGGAGTAATAAAATAATTTACTGTCGGTTGCAATTAGGCCATTTAATTTAGTAATAGATATATGAACTATACTTCGACAAAAAAAAAAAAAAAAAGATATATGAACTATATGTCCCTTGCTTCGATGGTTCTTCAACACATGGTCCCTCGTTTAGCTTGATTGTTCCCATCTACTATACATACGCCCGAATATATAAATATATATTTAGGCTGTTGACACGAAAAGAAAAGAATAATTAATTTATTCTTTTTATATTCATGCATTATCTTACAATTTTATTTTAATACTTTTAGACACACTTTTGTTATATATAAAAAAACTTTTAGACAAATTAATATGCTAAATTGCTGATCTTAGAAAGTTTAGAATAAGCTAGAATAATAATTTAGTTTTAAGAAAATAAAATTATTGTGACTATATTTGGACGCAATCCTCTCCCATCGTCTATCCATTTCTAGGATTTTGTTTTCCTGAATCAGTTTATGGTCACCAAAATATTTAGGTGATAATTTTCTTTCAGAAAGCAGGACTTTAAAAATAGAATGAGAGGCAAATTCTCAACCTTTTAAAACAAGATCATTGAAAAGGAATAAACCAAAAAAAAAACCTCATGTGAAAAAAAAAATCAAAGGAAATGTCAAATGCCTGGTGTGGATTAAAAGAACTTAATGAATTTGGAAAGCTAAAAAGAACAGTATACAGAAATCCTATCATCAAACGTAAACCACTAAATTATAAAGTTGCATATAAATAGTATGTTTTAGACTCTACCATTAGACGAAAGGACTTTCACTTCAACGCTAGTTTTCCAACTTGTGCAAAATTCTGTGCCTGTAGTTGAGGATTTATTTAGAGAAATCGAACTCGTTAAAACTTAATTACATCATTTTTAAAGGATTCTTATTATTTGCAATTTAAACAGGTGCACACAAAAAAAAACACGTATATTTTTTATTCCTTAAATCTATATTTCTTTTTATATGTTTTATTTATATTTACGTAGTTGTAAAAAACTATTATAACTTAGGTTTACGGTATATTATATACATATGATATGAGGTTTAGAGTTAGGTTTGGCATAGTTGTTTAAGACTTTGTGGAATTTTGGCAGACTTAACAACATATAATGTCAAATTTTGTTAATACATGCAATTATTGTTTATCTTATTAGTTTATACTCCCTCCGTTCTTTTACAAGTGA